CCTGGATGTCACAGCTCAAGCAGGGAGAGATTTTCCTCCCATCTGCCCCTCGGTTCTGTCCCGGCCCTGGACAGATGTCCCTGCCCGTGCTGGGTTGGGTCAGGCAGTCTATGGATTCCAAGGTGGCTCTCTTCCAGAATACCCTTCCCACACACCCAGAAATCCTGTTGGCCAGCTATCTGGGCAGCCCTTAGCCCAGTTAGTTGACAGAGAAAATTTACATCCTAAGGGCTGAGAAGAGGGACCAAAGAAACGGGTGGGTGGCCTTTGGTGGAGAACTTTCTCGTGGGGAGAAGGGCCTCCCTGTCCTGGCTCAAGGGCCAGTGACCTCTCCCAGGGCCCGCCCAGCTCAGACAGAGCCTCTGGCCCCAGGCTCAGCTCTCCTGAGACTGAATCCTGAGATGCTCTCACCTTGGCCAAATCCAGGCCGTTCACTTCCCCCTCACCCAAGAACAAGCCCCAAGAATTGGTGGCCTTGCTGCTTGGGACCGAAGCCATGTTCCCCAAACTAGATCTCTCAATGGTCAGGTTTGCAGAGGGTGCCCCAGCCCTAGAGCAAGGTGGAGCATGCTTGGTGTCTTGTCTGGGGGGAAGGTGGGGGATGGAGGGGATGGGAAAGAGTCCCCCCCACCGTTGGACTGGGGCTCTACATTGGCGGCTGGAGCAGGTGGGAAGCAGAAGCCCGTTTCCCCTCCGCCAGACGCTGTCCCCACAGGAGAAGGGGTGGGAGGCCCTGTCGGAGCCCGACCTTGAAGCAGGCTCCCTGGATGTCCTGGGAGCTCGGGGAAGAGCCAGACTCTGAGCAGGGGACGTGGTGCCAGGCTGGGCCAGCGTCCCCCGCCAGACCCTCCCTCCACACGGCCCCATCACCCGCTGCTGGTGCTCTCACCTGAGTGTCTGGCCCGTCGCTGTCCCCAACCTCACCCCTGCAGTGATGTCACAGCCCAGCAGCTCTGCCGTTCCCATGGCAACAGCCTGCTGGAGCCAGCCAGTGGGGGCTGCTGGGCTGCTGGAGAGGGAGGAGGTCAGTGGGCCCCTGAGACCCCTGCAGACCACCTGGGGTACCGGTTCTCCTTGTGTCTGCCCCCTTATCTGGTGTGAGGGACTTTTCTGTGCCCGGCTGTTTGAGGAGGTGGTGGGAAAAGGGCCAGTAGGAGGAGGCTGCAGGCCACAGGTCCACAAGGCCCATCTGGAAGTCCCCATGCTCCGGGGAGCTCCCCGACGGTTTGATGGGGGCAGGCTGGGCAGGGGAGCTGTCGGGACGGGGACGGGGACGGGGCTGGGCTGACTGTGGTTTTGGAGGAGTGGACGGTGTCAGGAGGCGGCTGGAGCAGCTGTGAGGGTGCTGAGCTCGGGGGGTGCATGATGGACACTGTCCTTGTGTTTAGTGAGGCGCCAGTTGGATCTGCCATAAGAGGTCCCTCTGCGAGCTCGTGTCTGGACCATGTGTGTAGAGGTCAGTCCACCTTGGGGTCTGCCAGTGTGAGGCTGGTGGAGGAGGCCGCTGGCCCAGCTCACCTCCAGAGCTGCCCAGTCCTGGGGGACAAACCCACAGAGTCCCAGGCCCCCAGGATCAGGGCCTGGCTGGTACTCGTATTCTCCCCTGACACCCCGAGTCCAAAACCCAGTGCAGCGGCTCACCTGAGCTGGGAACCAGCAAACACCAGGGTGTGCTCAGCACGTGGGGGCCCACAGAGCACGGTTTTAGAGGCTAGAACTCAGAGGAGTGCAGTGAAACCCAGTTTGTGATATTTATTCTATGTGGGCTTGGCTTGGATGCCTGCAGTGATGGGTCTCTCACTACCTACCCATGATTTCAAGGCAGCCCAGTAGGAAGTGCTTCCTTCCAGCTGCCCATGTGCTGCCTCCCTGTAATGTGTTCTCAGACGTCCAGCTCCATCATCTGGAGACACACACAGTAAGTACCGCCCTCTCCCCAAACAGCTGGCCAGGCTCTTGGGAGTTCCCGTGTGATGTGGACACAGCTGTCACCACCCTGTTTCACAGATGAGCAGACTGAGGCACCCCAAGTTGGGCAGCTTGCCCTGGGTCACACGGCCATGTCCCTGTCTACCTCAGTGCCGTTCTGGACTTCTCTGCCCCAGCGAACGCCTCTGCCTGGCCTCCTCTGAACGTGCCAGGTTCCTAGGACTCCTCCTCCCGTGCACAGCCTGTCCTGTCACTCCCTTCCTGAGCTCTGAGTCCATGGCCTGCCCTGCTGACCTCTGCCCCTTCTTTCTGGGCCTGGGGAAAGCTGTCTCTTCCCGGGCTCCCCTTGTTCTCCAGGCCGCTCGTTCTTGCCTTTCTCACTGGGCTCATTCCTAATCGTTTCAATAGTTGTGCTGCGGTTTTGAAATGCTGACCCTCGACACTGTCACGTGGCCACTTCCAGGACAGACTCTTCTTCTCACCTTGTGAAAGTCACTTAGACCTGCATCTGCCTGTCAGCTCCTGTGGGCTCACCACTGTCTTCACATCTCTGTGGTGCTCTGCACCTTGGCAGAGCCTCCCCGTGAGCCAGGCACCACCCTCCAAGTTCCCAGGACTGTCTCCTCTGACACCCATCTCTGAGGCCGCATGGCGGATGCTCCATCTCCCCTGTTGCTCTTTTTCCCCTGACACTCCATCTCCTCTCATGCCCCATCTCTGACCTCCATCTCTGACCCTCCGTCTCTGACCCTGCATCTATGACCCTCTGTCTCTGATCCTGTCTCTGACCTCCTCTGTCTCTGACCTCCATCTCTGGCCCTCCATCTCTGACCTCCATCTCTGACCCTCTGACCTCCATTTCTGACCCTCCATCTCTGACCCTCCCGTCTCTGACCCTCCATTTCTGACCCTCCATCTCTGACCCTCCGTCTCTGACCTCCATCTCTGACACTCCATCTCTGACCCTCCATCTCTGACCCTCCATTTCATCTGATGGTCACACCCTAGGGACAGGCATGTGCTCTTTGGGCCTGGTTGCCCTCGGCACCTTGGTGTCCTCTTGCCCTCTGTGTGGCCGGGTGAGGTCTGGCCAGTGCAGGCCTGGCTGGACCACCACCTGCTTGTTCTGGGTGTTCCTTTGAGTGCAGGTAAGGCCCAGGTTGCCTTTCGTCCTCCCTTTCATACTCACGTACGTGTATTTGGGGACCCACGTGTGGTTTGGGGTGTGTTCCATACATCTCCTCTTGGTAGATCTAGCCAGGATGTAAGCTGTTAGACATCTTCCCAGCTGGAGTTTTGTGGCTGACTCAGTGTCTTCCTGTGGGCCTCTGTGTCCTGTGGGGTCCGCATCTTAGAATGGATGAGCTTCGATGGAACTCAGGTGCCTGGTGCATGGCGGGGCCCGTCAGTGCCTCTGCCCCATTTCCTCCAGTGTTCCACACAGCGGACCCAGCTTCCTGGTGTGGGTGCCAGTGCGGGCCAGTCTAGAGGGGCGGGCTGCTGTCGAGAGAGGAAGCCGCAGAGCTGCCACCTGGGAGGACACGCGAACCTGTAAGAAACCCATTTAAATGGGCCTTACCTGCCCCCAGATCACATTCTGGGGTCACCTAGTTTCAGGATCTCTGCTCTAGACTTCTTAAAAAAGATCCCCATGTTATCATCCCAAAGAAATTCAGAGTCCTTTCATAACTAAAGGTCAAGTTACACGTAGTGTGTGTGCTCCGGAAGACGGGGAATGTCCTCCACGCATGAGATCCCAAGCTCTGCCTGTGTGGGAATGGCCTCGTGGTGGTCGCCAGCTAGCCGAGCCTTTCTGTGGCTGACTGATGTGTTTCCGAGAGGTGCTCACCGGGCAGCTAAGTCTGCTTGTGGCTTTGGAGGGCACTGCGTCCTCAGGGAGGGGGACTGGGCTGGGCTGGGGCAGTGTGAGGGGGACGGGGGAAGGCCATGTCCATTTCATGAAGAGGATGGGCTGGTGGTGCTGGGGGTGGCAGAGCCTGGCCAGCCCTGCCCGGGATGCAGCGTTGCTGGACAGGATGGGAGGGAGCCATGGGGGTGGCTCAGTGTTCCTGGCCTGAGGATGACAGGGGACCTGGTGGACCGAGCACGTCCCTGCCCTGTGGCTTGGGGTGGGTAGGCTCCGTCAGGGGCAGGGCCCAGGAAGCCGCCCTCTCACTCGCAGCCCAGTGTTTGTGCTGCAGGCAGCCGTGGGCCACATCTGGGGACTTGCTGGTGAGGAAATGGGCGATGGGCGCAGGCCGGCTGGGTAGGCGGAGGCTGCCGCTGTGTTGTGGGAAGGGCAGGGCCAGAGGGAGACAGCTGGGGGGCCTGGGGGCTCAGTGAGAGATGCTCAGGCTCTGTAACTGCTGGGGGAGGCGGGCAGAGCTAGGCATGGCCCCGCTGGGGGACACGTGTTCTGTGGTCTGTGGGCCAGCAGCAGCATCGGTCTCCTAGGGGCGCACTTTGGACATGCAGAATCTCAGCCCCTCCCCAGACCTGCTGAATCCGAACGGACTTACCGAGAGTCGAGACCTGGCCTTGTAAAGCGCTCTGAGGAATGGGATATTTGAACCGGAAGTGGGTGGTCCATCTGATGGACTCACAGGCCCTGTAGTACCCCTGCAAACACGCCGTTAGGCAACTTAGCCTCACTGTGACCAAAGCAACCAAGAACAACAGCTTGGAGGAAGGAAGGTTTATCTGGGGCTCAGGTGTCCGAGGCCTCAGTCCACGGCCGGCCACTCCACTGCTCCGGGCCTGAGGTGAGGGGAGGGACAGAGGAAAGCTGCTCAGCTCATGGCGGGGTCAGGAAGCAGGGAGAGGGGAAGGGTCCAGGGCAGATGCTCCCTTGCAGGGGACCCGCCTCCCCCAGCCACACCCCAGCTGCCCAGTTACCACCAGCCAGTCCATTCAAACTAGGGTGGACCAACTAGGCTGCAGCCTCACAGTCCAATCACTTCCCCAAAGATGCCTCTCAAGGTCACTGGAGGACCAGGGAAGTCAGAGGTCAGGCAAGGACAGTGAAGCCCAGGCCAAAGTCCACTTGTGCCACAGAAGTGGCTTCCAGCTCTGGCCTCCCCAGCTGCAGATTAGGAGTCTGGGACTAGGGGTCTGCTTGCTCAGAGGTGAGTCCTTGCAACATTGCCCTTGAGCTGTGTGACCTCAGGCAATGTATTCAACCTCTCTGAGTCTCTGCTTCCCCATCAGAAAGCATGGATAGGCCCAGGCCTTGCCATCCACCCCTGGTGGGATAGCAAGTTGGTGTGGAAGGGTGTGTGTGAAGCTTGGGGACGCTGAACACACACAGGTCTGACATCAGCCAGAGTTGTGTGGTCACTGAGGCCGCGTCCTCCTGGCCAGCTACATGTGGCCCTGTCTCTCCCTGTATGTTAACTGGCACACGGCCTCAGGGGTCACCGGGGGGCCATGTTGGCATGGGTTCCAGCCAAGAAGAGGGTGTGTGTGAGGCCCCTGGAAGCCAGAGTGGGGAGGACAGGGCCCCCCAAGGATGGAGAGAGGCAGCCGAGTCCTGCTGCAGTCCCCACGGCGGCCACCCTCCCTGCTTCAGCTCGCATTCGGGTAGGACACGGCAGGGCTGCGTCCATCGTGTGCCAGGGTCAGTGTCTCCGAGGGTCAAGGGTGGATTTAGCCCCGTGGCTGTCACACTCGGGGGACCTGGCAGCAGGGTCATAATTGCAGGGCCTGAGTCTTGGTCACGACGGCCACCACTTAGCTGTGTGACCATCCTGAGGGAACTGGCCCTGAGGGCGTGGGCGTGGGCGTGGTCTGCGCCATGCCCACCTTGCTGCCCCGTGTGTGGCAGCAGGTGCCTGTCCTGTAGGAGCGGGGGCTGGGCCTGCTCAGGGCGCCCACAGGAGCCTGCGTCCTGCCGCCAGCCCCCGGCCTCTCTGAGCTCCAGCCTGTTCCTGGCGCCTTCCGCAGGCCCTGAGCATGATGCTTTCCTGGACCCCACTGGGGCCTGCTGCAGACGCCCGCTGCCCAGGCGGCTCAGAGGCCCTGGGGTCTCCTGTGGGAGGGGGCCTATGCCCCCCGCTACCTGTGTAGGGGGCGTCCTCAAGGCGGGGTTAGGTTCTGCACCTGCTGAACAACTGTCCAGGCAGCGGCTGGGTGTGGCTGCTGGGGCCACAGGGCTGCAGAGAGCAGGAGGGAGAACGGGCCCAGGGTCCCAGAGGCTCTGGTGCCCCGGGAAGGCCAGACAGGTGTCCACCCTGCCTTCCTGGCGCCCCGAGGGCAGTGCCTGTTGGGAAAGGGCTGCGGTTTCCCAGACAGGTTGAAGGCAGCAGTGACCGGCAGCCCGTCTGCTCCTTGGCAGGGGCCTCGAAGGGATGTCCAGAATATTCCACAGGGATGGGAGGGGGGCGGGAGTGTGGCCAGGGGACTGCCCTGTGCAGGACGGTCAGCCAGCAGAGCACATGACCTCCCGCCTGGTGAGTGTCCTTCCTGGGGCACTGGCAGCCTGTCCTGCAGGGCTGGGGAGCCCCTAGGAGACTGGGGGCAGACACTCCAGGAGGGGGGTGTCCAGGGGCTCCTACCCCTGGCCACCTCAGGCTCAGGAAGGCTTAGTGAGCGTCCTTGCCAGAGGGCCACAGGCCCAAGTGGACCCTGTCCTGGTCCCATGGTGGTACATGGTGGAGGGCACAGGGGGACAGCAGGGACCGCAGGAGGCGCTGAGAACATAGCAGTAAGGGTACACCTTAGGGTGTCCTGGGTCCCCAATTTCTGAGCTGTGGAACTGACTGATTTCCCGACTTCACCTCGAAGCTCCCTAAATGTAGGTCATGAACCGAGCTTGGGGCGGGGGCGCTCCTGTAGGAGTCACTGAGGCCGCGTCTTAACGCTCGTCACCCGCTAATAAAGGAGTCAGTCGCTCCCGGCTCAAAATAGACTTGGTTCCTTGGGATGCAATGAGCCCCACTCTCTCAGGGGTCTCCTGAGACAGACAAAGGGACGTTCACAGCAGCCCAGCTCCCTCCCCGCCTCTTTGGACACGCCTGTGGCCAGTCCCAGAGGAAGGACCCATGAGACCCAGATTCAAACGCAGCTCCTTCGTGAGCGGGGAAAGTCTCCCATCACGGAGCCTGGGTGTGGCCAGGGATGGGCTGGCCGGGGCACGGGGTGAGTCGGTGCTGACCTTTTAAAGACAGCGCCAGCTGTTTTCCAAAGTGGCTGCGTCTGCATTCCACCAACCCCTGCCTGGAAGGTCCCAGTGTCCCCAGCTCCTCACCAGCACTTGCCGTCCTTGACTGTCCCTGGGGCTGTAGTCACCAGCATGTGAAGTGGCCTTCCGCTGCGGCCTCCTGGGCGTTGGCCTGAGGACTGCTGAGGACTGCTGCTGTGGGAAGCCTGCAGAAGAAGTCTGTCTCCTTGGTGAACGTCCACTTAGATCTTTCGCCCACTTGTGAATTAGATCATTCATCTTGGTGTTAAGTTGTAAGCGGGGTTCAGGGTTCTGGGCTGCAGTCGGCTCTTGGGTGCGTGATCTGCAGATGTCTGTACATCCATGCCGGATTCTCACTGGGCCAGGGGTGCCTTTTGGAGCCCGGCGGTGTTGACTTTCCTGTGTGTCCATTTCCTCCTCTGCGGCTCGAGCTTCTGGGATTGTATCTGAATGTTCTTTGACTAAGTCAAGGCCTGGAAGGAGCCGCCTGTGTTTCCTCCTGAGCACTCAGGCCCTGCGTGAAGGTCTGCGACCCCCTGTGGGTTCGTCTTGTGTGTGGGGTGATGAAGGACGGAAACTCCTCTTTTTTCGTGTGCAGAGTTACAGTGTGATTTGTTGGAAACAAAAAAAGCACAAAGGGCAGGGGACACAGCTCAGTTGGTAGAGGCCTTGTCTCCATGCACAGGGCCCTGGGTTCATCCCCAGCACCACACACACACACACACAGACTGTTCTTTTCTCCATTGAGCCTCGGTGTCACCTTCGTGGAGACCCAGCTGTCCCTCCGGCTGTCCTGGCCCTGTGGAACGTGACATCAGCCACTGCTCTTGCAGATGATTGCAGTCAGTGGCCCGATTTACCAAGAGGTGCAGGGACCCCGCCCCCCCCCCATGTTCAGTCTAAGCCAGCGTCAGTGTGACCAACTGTGGTGCCGTGGTCTGCCCGGACAGCAGTTGGCCCAGCTGTGTGACCTGCTCAAGTGTCCCCCTCCCTCCCTGCCTCAGTTTCCCCATCAGTGAACCAGGGATGATAACAGCTCCCTCCCTCCCAGGTTTACAATACAAAATACATGAACTGTTGGGGTACCAGGTGCCCCCGGGGAGCCCGGGCAGTTAACATTGGCTGGAACATGGGTGGGCTGCTACTTCCTGTGTGCCGCCACCTCTTTTGGCTCAAATGGTTGAGCCTGGTTCCACACAGGCTCAAAACAAGAGGGTTGGCCTGCAGTATCCAGGAAGCAGCCGCTGCAGCTCACAAATCCGGCTGCTGCTGGCATCAACGCCAAGTGGCCACAGACATGGGGACATGCACTTCCTCCCCTAGGTAGGCCTGAGCAAGCACAGGCCCTTCCTGGTGCCAGGGAGACCTATGGGAGTCCTCTGATAGTCAACACGGAGAGAGAGCGAGCCAGGGATCATGAAAAGACTTGGAACCCTGCTCCTCTCTCTGTTGGGTTTGTATTGGATTCAAGTGCCAAACATGCACGCACGCACGCACCCACACGCATGGACACGCAGGCGGGTGCACACGTCTGTCTGCACACACCAACATGCACAGACGCACACAGGCGCTGCCTGGCGAGCTCCCCCCTCCCCCACCCCCTCCTCTTTGATTCACAAGGTCCCTCCCCTCAGAGGCCATGCTTCCTCCCTGCCCTCCCCAGGTGAGTTAGCAGGTGCTTCCGATGGCACCCTCCCACCCTCACCTGGACCCTAACATGTGCCTCGGCCTCCGTCTTGGCACTATTGACATTTTGGCCAGCTCCCCCTTTGGCACGGGGCCCATTCTGTGCATCTCTGCCCAGCCTACAGCACCTCCTCTCCAGGTGTGACCTCCAAAAACATCCTCAGATGTTGCCAAATGTCCTCTGGATGCCAAACCACACCCTATAGAAAGCCACTGTCCTAAAGGCTCTGACTTTTCAGTGATTGGGGACAGAAGGGGCCTTGGTGGGCAGAGGTCGGGGAGAGACCTGGAGCCCATGCTTCAGTGTGTCCCCGACTAAGACTCCCGTGTGCCCTTGTCTCCAGGGTCTTGCTCACTCTCCTGAGAGCGCTCGGGAAGCTGCGTGTGTCCTCCTGCCCTCCTAGGTTCCCCGTGAACAGCAGTGGCCTCTGTGGTCCCCGGGCAATAGAAGCCTCACTCTGGCTGCAGCCGCTTGCCCTGGGAAGAAGAGCTCACGGGAATCCTGAGAACCTCAGAGAGAGCCCTGATGCCCAGCTCCTCGCCCCACGACTCGGTCATGCTGCTGAGGCAGAAGCACACGACGCTGAAAGTCAGGGAACCCGAAGACGATAGCCCTCTGCCCAGGAGGCCCAACCTGCAGTGGAGGGCCCAGCAGCTGCTGCAGCTGGCCGAGGAGCTGCAGGCAGAGTGGCAGGAGGCCCAGCTCCTCGAGGACCTGGAGCAGCTCTGCTCCACCCACGTGCTGGGCGGGGCCACAGCCGGGTGGGCGGTGGAGAACGAAGCCCAGGCCGAGGCCGAGGCCGACCTGGAGAAGCCTGCCCCGCGAGGAGCAGAAAGGTCCCCGAAGGTGAAGGACAAGCACAGAGTGGCCCTCCGAGAACCCAAGAGTCACCAGGAAGAGCTGCCCAGGCAGCAAGCGCGACGCCCCAAGCCCCAGAGAAAAGCAGTGGGCTCCGAGAGGCAGGGGGCCACCAAACCCCGGGGTCTGGGTCCCACCGAGAAGAGCAAACGGAATCGGCTGCCTTCCAGCAAGACCAGCAGCGGCCGCCAGCCCGTGACCCCTCGGGTGGGCAGAATTGTGCAGCCACACCTGGCCTCGGGGGAAGAACTCAGGGGCCTGCAGGAGAAGCAGAGAGCCCGGGAGGGGAGGAGGAAGGCCGGGAAGGGCACCACCGTTCACTTTGCCAGAGGCCTGAGGAACATCTCCGAGAAGCAGGGTCCCAGGGACAGACTGGAGGAGTTCCAGCAGCTGTGGCCAGCGAGCTCCACCCACAGGAGGGAAGCCGTGACCCCCTCGACTCCAGACAAGTGCATCCCCAAGAACAGGTGGCAGAGAGAGCTGGAGTCGGCCTTCGAGCAGCTGTTTAACTCAAACAGGAAGCTCAAGAGGCACTTGAGTCAGCACCTCGACTCAAGGTCCAGGCTGGACCCTGACCCCCAGGAGCAGGTCTTTTCAGTCCTGCAGGAGTGCGAGAGTGACACCCCACAAGAGGGCGCGGCCGAGGTGGAGTCGCTGCCTGCTGGTGAGTCTGGGGATCCTGCAGAGGCCGAGGTCTCCCCCAAGTCATCCAAGACCGATTTGAAACAATCACTAAGCAGGGAGGAACTCCCCAGATGCCACCAGATGGCCCAGCCTGCAGTGAAGGACGGAAGTCAGACATCGTTGGCCGAGGCGGATGCGGCTATCGACGAAGAGGACCTGCTCTTTAAGAGCACCGAGTGTGAGCAGGAGGCCTCCGAGCTGGCCACACTGATGGACAGCTGCCCCCAGCCTCACCTGCCGGAGCAGGCGCACAGAGCAGACTGGACGGCCTTCGCCCAGAAGCCGCCGAGGCTGGAGCTGGAGTGGAGGAGGCAGAAGCCGTCTTTTGAGTCCGTGGAGCTCCCAGACATGAGCTTGGAGATCCACTACTCGGCCGAGCTGGAGGAGGAGCGGAAGGAGCGGAGGAGATTGCGCCTGGCCCTCCTGAAGTCCTACCCCAGCAGTTACCAGATAAGGGGCAGAGTGTCCCCGTCCCCGGTCAAGCTCACCTCCTCCTCGAACAGCAGCCTCATCGAAGACGAGGGCAAGCAGAACCAGATGATCCGCGACATTCAGCTGCAGATTTCAGAGCAAAACAAGTTGCACGAGCAGTTTCTGGAAAAGGCCAGGAAGCGCTTGCTGGAGTTTCAGAGAATATGTTAAAAGGCGACGGTCCACCCTGCGAAATACAGCACTGATCACGGTTCCGCCTGCCTGTCCCTGAGTCTGTAGGGCCTGACGTGTGGCCTGGGTAGAGGTCAGTGGTGTCCTCACACTGTCCTTTGCACAAACGTAGGAGGCTGTGGGGTCGGGGAAGTGAGTCCAGCCTGTCTGGGGCACACAGAGGGAAGGCTGTGTCCATGGGCCCTGGGCGCACGTGGAAACTCCAGGGAGATTCTGCCCTTTGGATGTTTTAGCCGAGTCAATGCTGGGATTTGAGGGGCATCCCAGGTCAGGGGGGCCCAGTTTCAAGAGAGACATCATTTGGTGCTTAGCCCCTGGCCAAGATGTTAGCAGAGCTGACACTGAGACCTCTCATTCTTTCAAACGACAGAGCCAACTTTGCCTAGAGCCCACCACACACTTCATTCCTGTGACCTTAGTGGTGGGAGAGGGTGGCAGGAGCAAGAGAGAGAGACTAAGAACCAGAAGGAAGGCAGCCCAGCCCTGCTGAGTGCCCGCTGCAGGCTGGCTGGGGGGTGGGCATCTGGGTATTTGGTCAGTCTCCTGCTTGTTGGTTTTACCTTTGATCCAGCCAGGGAGACCCCCACAATTGCAGACTTAGGGACAGGGACAGGGGTTGGCAAATGTTTTAGGCCAAGAGCCAGAGAGTTAAATGTTCTTGATTGGCCAGCAGCTTCCGCCACTGCTGGACTCTCATGAGCAGCCGTGGAGGGCACAGAAAGAGTGGTTTGATTTGCAGAGAGTTGTGGGCTGGAGGTGGCTCTGGGGCCAGAGTTTGGTGATCTTGGGGCTGGGACAGTGCTTGAGCCTCCCCTTCTCTTCCAAGTGCCCTTGGATACCTCGGCACCTTGGTCTCATTGGTCCACCAACAGCCTTATTGACCTCACGTGTATTTTTCAAAGTAATGAACAAACCACTGTGAGCCTGTCGCCCAGACCCAGGCTCTGCAGTACTTGCTGAGAAGCCACATCTGGTGCCTGTGTGCTGCTGTCCTTTTCTCCACCCCTGCCTCCTCCCTGGGGAGGTCCCCACAGGGCTCGGGGTCAGCCCGGCTCTCAGCACGTCCGTGTATGACTGACGTTGCAGCCGGTGGTTTTTCCCGATTCTGGACTGTCTACCAGGGGTGGGAGGTCCCACGTGGTCTCTGGGAGGTCCTCTTTGAGTCTGGGCACAGGGACTGGCATTCATCGGTGCCACACGAAGGTGTGGCTCATTTTCTCTGCAGGGCGGTATCGTCCCGAGGCTCCCCGGGCCTCCTTCCCAGGATCGGAGCTGCTTTTGTGCCTGTTTCTGAAAAGACAGCTGGATCCGCGGTGCCTTTGGATCAGAAAGTTGGGTGCTAAGTAGATGCTTGTGTGGGTTAATCCCAGGTTTGGGCACCAAGTGTTTTAAGTGCTTTGGGGAATTTAGAACACGTCAGTGGGGTGGGCGTGGTGAGATCCCACTCTCTCCATTGCTCCCTAGAGGGGGCTTCCTCTGATGTTCCCAGTGATGCGTCTTGGAGAGCCATGGGCCTCGGGGTCAGTGCAGGATACACAGAGGGGGTAGTGAAGTGTGTCACCATAGCTGACAGGGACCAGAAAACCCCATGGGGTGCCGGATGCCCTCCAGGTGTGCGTGGCTCGGAGAAGCCAGAGCCAGGTTCTCGGAGAGCATCCAACACCCGGAGCACCGCTGTGCTCACGGGGACGGCCGCGGGGGCAGCCCACAGATTTGGGGGCTTGGCTGTTTGTATCTTGGTCATCGTGTCCCCTGCGCCCACTGGATCTTCGGCTTTACCTGAGGCCCAGGCTGGCCCTACAGGGGATGACCAGGCTTTACCTGAGGCCCAGGCTGGCCCTGCATGGGATGACCTGGAGCAAGCTGTGGGCCACACAGTGTCCTCCGTCTGAGGCAGAGAGGGAGCGGTGGGGTCCTGGGCTTCAGGCCTGGCTGGGATGGCCCCGGGCGTTGTGAGGCCGAGGTCCGCCTGGCTTGGCCTGGAAGCCACAGGCTGAGGGTGGACGAGACTTCCCTAGCTGGGTTGTTTTTGTTTCCATTTGCAAAGGCAACGTTTGTGGTCCGGGTGTCGCAAGGGAGGGGTCGCCCCTTCCTGGCCACACTGGCGCTGAACTAGGTGTGGGGATGGGCTCGAGACATCGGAGGGTGACTCATCTTTGCCTGGACTGTCACACCTACACTGTCCCCTGGCAGCGGGACAAGACACCCCGTACTTTCCCACCTGTCTGGAAGAACGCCCAGGGGAAAGGGCTGGCCGTGGCCTGGGCCAGTGGTGAGGGTAATAAATCAACCTCTTGGGACTTTTCCTCCCGCTGATGGATGGCCGTCCTGTGCTTCTCTGTGAAGGGGTCACAGGGGGCCTTCCCACCCCATCTGCAGGAGCCCAGGGGGCTCTGTCCCTCGGTCACCTTGGGTGGCTGATGGTGGTGTGAAGGGCCACGGGGCAGCCTCAGGCCCCCTGGGTCCCCACGGCGTGCACCTGTCTCCACCAGGAGCACACGTCCTTGCGAGCACGTGGCCCTGCCGCCCGACAAGGGCTGGGTGACTCCGCAGGGTGTGGGTGTCTCTGCTTCCTCCCAAGCCTTGACAGCACCCTGGGCCCAGGCTCTGGCCGCCCCTCTCTCCACCGCTCCTTCCTGACACAGCTGCAGGGAGGAGGACACTTCCTGACTCGTGCCTCTCTGGTGCCCCTAAGTCTTCCCCAAAGTGATGGTCCCCGCTGACGGCCTCATGGCAGCCTGGAGCTGGGGGTCCAGACTGGGTTCACGTGGCCCCTGCCACTTGCCTGGCCTCCCTAGCTTCTGTTTGGCTGTGACATGGGGCAGTGCTCTGGAAGGCTGGGCCCCCAGAAGGTGTCCACAGAGTGCAGCTGGGTGGCTGGGAGACCCAGACCTGAGCTCTGCTGCTCCTGAAGCACCCCTGGGCCTCTCCGTGTTCCAGAGCTCTCTGCTGGGTGGTGCTCACACGCCCACCCCTGGGGACAGCGTCCCTCTCCGCCCCCTCGGGGCTCTGCATCACCCGGACAGCTCTCTGCTCACCTCCTTGCATCCCACCCTGTGGGTCCTTCTCCCCAGACACGGTGACTTCGAAAGGCCTTCACGGCTTAACTGGTGGTGGACGGGGCTCCCTGCCTGCCCAAGAGGTTTGCGGGGGAACGGCAGCAGAGCTGTGTGCCCCCCGAGTTAGCCGTCCCCGGGTTGAGGGCAGGCCTGTTGCAGGGACAGAAGCCAGGAGAGAGATCTGGGGCCCCCTGGCTTTGAACATGGCCCCACCCCATGTGGGCTGCTCTGAGGGTCAGGGTAGGTCCTCCCTCCTCACCTCTCCTTCCCCACCAGCCGCCTGCAGCCAGTGAGCCTTCGCTGGCGCCCAGGACCTCACACGTGTAAGGAGATGGGAAAGTTGGGTTTTTAACGTTGGAGGTGGGGCAGGGGCCTCTCGGACCTGCCGTAGTTCCTCTAATGAGCGGAAAATGGCAACAGAGATCAGGTCAAGACCTCTAAAAAGACGCAGGTGTTGAGGGGCCTCCAGCTGGCCCCCTGAGAACACGGCGGTGGATGGATGGCTCCTGGAACAGCCCAGCGCCTTCCCAGGAAGGAGACAGGGCTGTGTGTACCGGACTGTACCCCCATTCTCCACCTGCTCAGGGAGGGCTGCGCTGAAAGGGAGTGGTCAGGGAGCTGGAACAGAGTCCACCCTCCCTCACGGCCGCCTGGGGGTGTGGGCCCTGCCCACGGGCCACATGCCTCAGGGCCCCAGGCACAGGCCAGGGCTCTCAGACTATCAGTGTACACCAGGCCTGAAACAAGAGTCCAAGGGTCCAGCCCTCGTGGGTTTGTTCCCGAAATGAGCCAGCCGATGAGGAATGGTGACCGCCCAGGGCCACACTGGGCCCCAGCAGCAGCGTGAGGAGAGGACTCTGGTCTGCTGAGCTGCTGCCGTCAGGGAGGGACGGCGGGGGGCGGGGCTTTCCTGGGCGCCTCTCCAAGCTCTGTCTCCTCTGCCCGCTTGGGCTCGGGGCGTGGGGTTGGCAGGGCTGGTGCTCAGGGTCCTGGCGGAGGACGGCAGAGCCTCCACAAAGCCCCACTGTTCTCTCCCAGGAGCGCTGCATTTTTTTCAAGTGATTCAGCAGCACGTGAACGGGAAGGGCTGGAGCCCAGGCTCTGGCACGAGGTCCCGCTGGCCTGCAGGGAGAGGAGGAAGGGTGGCAGGGCGTGGGCTGGGGTCCTGCCAGGGCTGCGGGAGGCGGGTGGCTGGAGGCTGGGCGGAGTCGCTGCGTCTCTGCTCTGTGCAGCTGAATCTTGCAGACGCTCCCCTGCTCCCCACAGGGAGCCAAAGCAAATGGGCAGGAAACCGAGCCGGAGAACTGGTCTCCATGGAGACGGGCGTCCAGCGGACAGCTGCTCACGTGCACACTAGAATCCAGCAGCGGGCAGGCCTGGCAGGTCCCCAAGGGCCAGCCTGTGGGTGGCAAAATGGCCCAGGGCCTGGTGCAGATCTGCCCCTGTTCTGCACCTCGCACCCGCACCTCCCTCCCTGCCTACCCTCAACCCATTCCCCAAATCCATCTGCTGGGAGCAATTCCCAACCTCGGCTTCTCTCACCCTGGCCTGAGTCACAGTGGCCAGGTCGTGTCCTCACCCTGGACAGGCACAGCCCGGCCCCACAGTTGGGGCGCTGTTTAGAGGCTCCTGCAGGGGCCTGTCTGCTCCGTTCCCCACTCCCCAGAAAGCCCAGTTTCTGGGTCCTGGGGATGGAGCAGGTCTGGCGGTGTCTGCAGGAGAGTCTGGTCTCAGAGCTGCAGGGAGGGAAGAAGCCCTGGGTCCCACCCACCACTGCGGGGCTGTTTTTAATTACTGAGTGACAGCCCCTTTCCCCCTCATTTCCCTAAAAGGATTGGACTTGCAGGAGATGTGTTCCATCATTGACCCAAAAGGGCTGAGCTGTGAGGAGCCGGGGCACGCAGAGCTCCGAGCTCAGGGGTGGTCCCCAACTGTGTACTGAGGACACCTGGGGGTGGTGGCACCGGAGGTGGCAGGTGAAACTGGACACGCCTGTGGACTATGGGCACCACGCCTGCACGGGTGTGTTCCTCATGACACCTCCGAGCTGCTTGGCCACACCTGTGTCCAGGTATGGAGCTGCAGAGAGGGGTGTGGCCTTGAGACCTGGGAGCCAGAGCAGGTTGGTCTGATCACCAGCTGCCCATTCCTGGCAGAGCTGTGGCCATCTCTGTCCCTCCAGCCACAAGGTCAGCCTGTCCTGCTCACAGAGGTGGACACCCTCCCACAGAGAGGGCCCAGTGCTCCTTAAGGTGCCTCCACAGCCCCGTGATGTGCCTTGGTCACACGCCCCTCAGACTCCACAGCCACAGAGAGCAGAGCCCTGAACCATGGGCCACTTTACTGCGAAGTCAGACGCTGTGTGACTGGACCTCTGTCCCGAGCTGAGGGGTGGGCCCAGGAGTGATCCGTGGGGCGCCGTGTCCCTCTCAGACCCTGACCTGGAGGTTTGCAGGTGGCTGGGGCAGAGGCATCCAAGACACCCCCCAAAATAACTGGATCTTTGGACAAAGGAGTCCAGGTTTGGAGGCCAATCAGCCTGGGCCCGTCTGGGGAGCCATTGAGTGGTGTGGCTGTCCACCATAAAGGGACATGAGACTGATCCCAAGTGTCAGGGTTCTGTGAGCTCTGTGTGTTTGAAGCAGGGCACGTGGCACCTCTCTTCTCTGGAGAGTTGAGACAAAGGGTGTGTAAACTTGCAGTCCCCCAGTAAACTAGCAGCACCCCCACACTGCAAAGGCCACCGAATCCTCACCTGGAGCGAGTGGAGGTGAGGGTTCATCTGGAAAAGACATTTTTTTTAACTTTCTCTGAAGTGGTTGGCATGTAATTCTACCCATGGGCAAGGAAATGGACCAGCTGCCCGGGGTGAACGTCTGCAGCTGGGCCCATGGTTACTGCATTTGCATCTAGGAGTGGGGAGTTCTCTGCAGGGCTGGCCCCTGGCGGCTTGCTGCTGCCCCCTGTTGGTGTTTCGTGGGTCTCTGGCGGACTCGCACCCAGCCCAGCATCAGAGCGACACGACGGGTTGGTGATTTGGGCCAGCAGGTTCTTTGGCGAATGTGCTAAGGCACATTTGGCTCCTCCTCTCACCTCCAAGTGGGCCATGAGCGGGAGGCGGTATTTTCCCAGAGGTCCCCATGGGCACCCCTCCTAGGGAGCAGCAGGAGATTAAGTAGAGGGTGGGCAGGCTGGGGGGACAGTACCCTCTGCTGACACTCAGCAAATCCAGCCTCAGGCAGCACCTGCAGGTGGACAGGTGATCAGGGCCCGGCTTGGACTTTCATTTGCACAAGTGTTTCTCTGAGTCCTGGAGATCCTGCACTTATGGGGTAGACAGGTGGTTTGGAGGGACTGTGGGCCACTGTCCCTTCTTTTCCCCAGAGGCTCAGCCTCAGCCAGGTTTCACACCCACAGCTTCCCCTGTGCCCAGGGTGGGGAGCCCACGCCCTGGCAGGAACTGCCCCGTCGGATGTACCTACCCCTATAAGGGATGAGATTCTGCCAGAGAGATACAAAGAGCCAAGTAAGAAATAAGCAGTTCTCCTTCGGGTCTGACTCCAGGTGGGTGATGTTCTCCAGGAACTTCCATGATGCATCTGTGAACACAGTGGGATTCAAAAGACGTGGGTGGTATGTGAGTGACTGGCGGGCACGGTGGGCCCTGTGATGGTGGGAGCCGGGGGGACAGACAGGACGGAGAATGTGCAGGAGGGAGAACAGCTGCCCCAGAGCCCTGGGCACCCAGCCGGGCCTCGTCGTGACTGGAATCTGTTGAGTGTCCTGCACCCTGGTGGCCCTTGGACATAGCATGTGCCGGGGACACCCCAGGTTTCCAGCCAGCCCCTCACCTTCGCTCTGCATCTCGGACAGGCCTGCGTTGGCTGGTTTGTCTGGGGGTGGTGACTCTCAGAGGCTGGATACAGCTCGCCCTACAGCCCGCCCTCTTGGTACTCTTTCGCAAACTTGACTTTCCATCACCCGTTCTTTTCCACCCGGTCTGGCCGGGCGCCCTGGGGATTGTTTTTGCAGGCTCCTCGAGAGGGGAAGTGACATCATGTGGTGTCCTCAGCCCAAGGGATGGGGGCAGGGGCCCTGCGGTTGCGTGTGCTTTGAATTAAGTCGATGGCTGTATGTTCCAGTAGCCAGCATCTGGCAGCGAACTCGTCAGCCAGTGTTTCACCCTTGATCTGAAACCCAGATGTTGTGTTGACGGCAGAAGGGAAAGAAGAAAAAGCAAGATCTGAGCCTCTTGTGGGGTGGGGAGGAGGCATGATTTGGGGGCACAAAGCAGTTAGAACAAGAATCTCAACAAAGGCTCTTGCTCCTCCTGCTGCCTGTCCCCCGGTTGGAGGCTTCTGCAGGGGCAGGACGTGGGCTGACCCCAGCACACAGCATGTCCCTGCCTTGGGTTTAATTCTGCCCAGGTGGGGGTCTCTCTGCAGTTCCTTCCCCAGACTTACCCTGTCAATGGCCTGGGCTCAGGGAGCACCTCCCTCTTTTGGAGTGCCCTGCTTTCCTCTGCCAGCTTGGTGGTCCGTCCTGGAGCCCAAAGTGATGACCGCTGCCTGCACGTGGACAGAGGCTTTTGGAGAGCTCTCTGTCTCCTTCCCTTTCTGCCACTGCAGTGAAACTCTGCTTCCCTGTTTTCCTCCCTGTGCCCTTTCTGGACTGACTGCTTGTCTGGGGCCAGGTCTGCTGCTAATGCTTTTCACAGGCAAGACCCTCACCAAGCCCCTTCTCTACCTGTCGTTCCCAGACAGGTGCCTGCTGCCCTCGCAGGTCACCATCGAGATTCCTCTGTGTGGCAGGTGACAGGTCCTCGCTGACCAAAGCCATCAGCCTCGCCCATTTCTGGGGGCCAGAGCCTGGGGAAGGTTTCCACAGAACTGCGTTGTCTTGGCCTGGCTTGTTCCTCATTTGCTTTCCCTCACATGGTCTCTCATTTTGCAAAGTGGGTGAGGGGATGGTTTTCCACCAAGAATTCAGAGAGACCCTGAAGCACCTGAATTCTGGGTCCCTGTGGACGAGCAGAAGCAGCCCAGCTGGGAGTGGAGATTCTTGCAATCTGCTCCACTTCCCTGCAGGCACCTGGTGGCTTTGGTTAGCCTTCTAGTCTTACCTTGGAAATCAATTCTGACAATTTAAAAAGTTGTAATCTGCAGCCCCAAGCGGAGCAAGCACTCGGTGTGGGGGGGCTGCATCCCATCCAGACCCTGGGAGTGCATTTGGCACCCGCAGCCCAGGCCCTCAGTGGCCCAGACCCCTCAGTGCCTGTGCAGCAGGAGGGCCACTTTCATGTAGTCTCCCGGTCAACCCTCGCCACAACCTTATGAGCTGCAGGGATGGTTGTTAGCTCCCTTTTAGAGGAAGTCAAAGAAACTCTCTGAGGTCACACAGCTAAAAGTCCCTCCTCGGGATCCACCCCTGAAACACCCCAGCGGCTTTTGTAAGAGGCCAATGCTTGAACCTTCCTACCAGGGAGAGAATGTGGCCTGTTGGTGGTTTGCGCAGCCTTTGGCTTGTTTCTGACTGCCTGTGGTGCATTTATGGAGCACCCTTGGGTGTTAAGCATTGGACAGAGTAGCGGACCACCGAAAAGAAGCTCTCAAAAGCACCTAGAGCAGGCAGAGTCGGGTGCTGGGCTCCCTGTGGACTCTGCTGGTCTGTTCCTGAGCTGACTGTGCTACACACAGGGCCCCCTGTGACAGAGTCGACCTGGCGTGCTTACTGGTTCACGTAAGCACTTTTTGTGCAGCATTGCAATAAGATATATAGATTAGGCAGGTGGCCACAGGGACCAAAGGCAGCCTTACATGGGCTGCTGGCCCGAGGTGGTCAGGTTCAGCCCAGTTCCACTGAAGGGTGTGTACTGAGTACTGGCTGTCCCACATCTAGAACCCAGCTTCTACTTAGTAGGCTCTCCCAGGGCCCCAAGCAGACAGGCGGACAGGTGTTTACAGCAGAAGGATGAGCTATGGGGAGTCCCCTAAGTGCTGCAGGACACAGGCCTTCCCAGAGCAAGACAGGAAAGGGCTGATGTAGCTGGGTCTTAGGGATAGTCAGGTGTTCTCTGGCTGAGAGGGGAGATGGCAATGGGGGCAGAGAAACTTGCCTGTTTAGAGGTAAGCACACACCTGGGATTGGGCAGGGAAGTAATATGGGTCGGGGGCACAGCAGGGCTAGCACAGGGATTCTCGGGTGGCGGCAGCCCAGGTAACTTGTTGGCACCAGGTTGCAAAGGTCTCGTGTTTTAGGCAAGGGCAGTGGGGAGCCAAGGAAGAGGTCTGAGCTGGGAGGGACACACGCTTCTAGTCGTCCGGCTGCAGTGAACGAGGAAGCCTGGATCAAGGGCAGGTCGCCCTGTGCTGGGGTGGCCTGTCGGGTGGCTTCTCCCAGATGTGGCTTTTCAGGGCGAGGCCTGGCTTGGCCTGGGAAACAGGAACCTGCGGCCTGGGCCAGCCGTGACTCAGCTCCGGCAGAAGAGGAGAGTGGGGCCCGATCCCAGGGCCAAGGTCACGGGTGTGGTGCGGGGCTCTGGGGTGAGACTGGGATCTGGAGCAGACCTCTGGGGTCAGAGGGACGGACACAGATGGGGCTCCCATGTGGCTGGACCTCCCTGCCTCTGTGGGAGATGACAGCCCTGGCCAGGAATTCCCAAGACACTTCAGCCGACCCCTGGAGGGTGGACGAATCTCTTCCTTATCTCTGTTTCTCTGTTTTTCTGACATGCAAAATAACAAACACTGGCCCAGAGTGACCTGTCCACTGCACTTTGGAAGACAAAGCCCTTAAAGTCATTAAAACAGACCATGCCACCCACGGATAACCTTAAAATGAAAATGGGGGGCCTGCTCGAGCGACCTGCACTGCGGGCCCAGAGCTCTGGCCCTCCAGGAGGGACCCCAGTTCTGGCTCAATTGCTGATAGAAAGCCCTGAGGGGGTGGCCCTCGGTAGCCTCAAGCTCCAAAACATTCTGGAGCCTTCCCAGCCCGGTCCTTGTTGCATCCTGTCTGGCCTCCTTCCTGGGCATCTGTCCCTTAGGTTTGCCAGCCCCGCCTGCAGACATTTCCTAACACAGTCCGTACCCTGTGAGTTACAGCACCGTGACCCCTTCTCTGTCATACCCCAGCGCAGAACACATGTCACTCTCAAGCATCCCCTAAGAGACATTTCCAGGGAAACTTGTTTTTCTGTTTTGGGTGTGTGTGTGAGTGTGTGTGTGTGTTTGCACTAGGGGCAGAACCAGAGCCTTGCACATAGTGAATAAGCACTGCACCACCGGCCCTCTGGGGAAACGTCGAGGAGGGGCCCCTTAAGGTAGAAGACTACTCCTCTGCCTCAGCTCCCCAAGCTGTTTGCCAACAGTGCATGGAGATAGGGTGGTGGGGACGCCTGAGCCCACCTGAATGACAGGGGCTGCAGCCAGTCCTTAGGCATCAGAAAGACTGCCAGGAACCCCAAGCACTCAGGTGACACCGACGGGAGCTTTGGCAGGATGGGTGGTTGCACCCTGCTGTTGAAGAGGCCACCTGGGCACGAGGGACACTGAGCCTCTGGCCCATCAACAGAGGAGGGTCTTGCTGAAGGACCGCAGGACAGGAGGGAGCCAGCACTAGGCAGGGTCTGGGGTCCTCTATCCCTTGTTTTACAGCCAGGGCCAGGGGTGGCTCACCTGCCTCAGCACCTCCCAGGCCTGGACACCTGGCCCCTGGTCAGAGCCTGGACGCTGGACTTCTCCTCACCTCTATGTCTTTGTGTTTTGCAGTGATTAGGGCCAAAGCGGTCAGCGAGAAGGAGGTGGACTCTGGGAACGACATCTATGGCAACCCCATCAAGAGGATTCAGTACGAGATCAAACAGATAAAGGTAACAGCCCGGCCAGCGTCCCAGGTCCACCGCGGGGGCGTGGAGGGCCAGGGAGGTCAGCGACCCTGGAACTCAGTCCAGCAGCCTGTGGGGCAGAAAGTCAGGCTGCAGGCAGGTCTGAGTCTCCTCAATCCTTAAATGTCTGAAAAGCCGGGCAGAGACCGGATGTTCCCAGCAACTTCCATTATTTCAGAAGCACGTCACCTTTATTTTGATGGGTGACAAATTGGTGGCACAGCCTCCACGCACGTCACACAGGTCTGTAGTATCTACAGAGCCTTCTCTGAGCCTCTCCGTGCCAGGGCCGATGTGGGCTGGGCAGCTGTAAGGACGTGATCTTGCCTCCTGCCCCAGCTGAAGCAGGAGATACAGCCTGAGCACCTGGCCGTGCCTGCAGCCCCGCATGCCCAGAAGGATTTGGGGAAAGAGGATCCTGCAGCCAGGTGTAGATAGGGAAGCCTCCCAACTGTGGAAAGAAACGGAAACTCTGGTGGGACCGGCTCAGAGAAGATGGTATGTCAGGAAAAGGGGCCTGAGTCTGGGGCTGCGGGCCCGCGGGCAAGTTGGTGGTGTTTGTTAGTACTTTCAAAGGACCATCCATGTCCAGGAGCATATGGGAAGAGACCTGTGTTTGAGAGAGAGAGAGAGAGAGACGGAGGGAAGAAAGACAGAACCCAGCCCTGGGAGGAAAACGTGATGCTCTCGTGGTTGACAACAACCAACTTGGCCCTCAAGAGAGAAGCAGACTCCTGGCTCTGGCGGAGGGCCAGTTTGCAACATAGTGGTAGTTCTGTAGCCATCCGTATTTAACTTTGTTACAAAACTAAAAGGTCCTAGAAAATAAAGTTTATCGGAAGACCAATGGAATGCCTAATTGTTACATGTGGCACACCTTAAGGAGGTGACCTAGTCTCTTAGTGCCCAAGTCTCTCTGTTATTGAAGCAGAAAAGCAAATCCACTCTCATGGTCTCATGGAGGAATGGATAGTAACACCAAAGAAGGGCCTTCAGCCCCTTGCCAGTGTCCTTCACGCCGCCTGGAGCCTTCCACCCCGGGCATTTCTTGTTTGGCCATGACTTTAGGGAAGATCCATTGCATGTGGGTTTGCTCACTGCTTATTAAGATTCTCTTTAAAAAGCCCCCTGTGGGCTTCTGGGAGATGCTCACACAGCAGCTGCGTTCCTGAGGCCACAAGGAAACCAACCCCCGTGTCCTTGGGGTTACATCCCAATTCCGGGGGTGCCTCTCTGCTCTTGTTCCCATCAGGTAGCCCTGGCTGCATCCAAAACATCCTGGGGGTGTGTCATTTGTAGGGTCATCAAAACCTTGGGCTCAATCCCCAGCATTAAAACCCAGAAGACTTAATATAAAAAAGCCCAGAATATCTCTTTGAATACTTCTGGAAATATACAAAGGTCGTGGTCCTGGAGGACGGGCCAGAATCTCCAGGATTGACGCAAGCCTGTGCCCAGAGACTCTGAAATGACCTCTGGGGGTGCCCAGAAGTATTGTCTGGGAAAGTCCCTTCCAAGTGACTGAGATGGGCCCTGCTCTGCGATGGCCAGGGTAGGTGGCTGAGCGGCTCAGCAGGGCCGCGGGCTTCTGACCCCCTCTTGTGCGTTTCTGCCCTTGTCTGCGCAGGCAGCCGGCGGGAGCGGATTCCCAGCCCGTCTGACACGTGCCCTCCTTGTCTTTCCAGATGTTCAAAGGCCCTGACAAGGACATAGAGTTCATCTACACGGCCCCCTCCTCGGCAGTGTGTGGGGTCTCGCTGGACGTGGGAGGAAAGAAGGAATATCTCATTGCAGGTGCGTGGCAGGGAGTGCTTCCCAGGGTCCCTTTTGTCCTAGTCCCTAACAGGGCCAGTCTGGCCAACGCACTGCTGCCCTCCTACCCAGGTCCTGTGCTTCGTGGACTGTGCGTGGGAAACCCACGTGCTCTGGGCCACCACCCGCTTCCACACACCCCACGGGGCCCACTCTGTCCAGGACCCTCACAGCTTCCCCACACGAGTGTGCTGTTGTGGTCCCCATGTTACAGACGTGGGAAACCGGGGTGCGGCAGGTGGCCCGGGCACCTGGTTGCTGTTTTCAGTCAGGCGAGCTGGTTGTGGGAGCATTTCCACCCAGAACTCAGCAAATGCCCCAAACTGAGCTTTTCCTCCAGGAGGGTGGTGGCTGGACATTCCTCAGCACAGCCCCGCGACGTCCCTGCCAAAGGACGTGACCTGGGCTGCCTGCCCATGGGTGGGGCCCAGGTTCCCGATCAGCAGCTTCTATTGCTTTGCTCCTTTGGTTCAAGATTTGGAATTCTCATTGCCCCCACACCTCGCCCCGTGGCCCTCCTTTGACCGTCCACAGGGATTGCCCAGGAAGCTTGGTAGGACCCCTGAGGCCCAGGCTGTGCGCAGACCAGCCGAGCAGGACCTGGAGGGCAGGGACCCAGGTGTCCGTGTTTCACAGCTCTCCCGAGAGCCTGGTGTGTGGCCAGGGCTGAGAGCCAACCTCTACCCAGAACCCTCGCTGCTCTCAGTCCAAGGCAGAGCCTCCTTCCAGAGGTGGCCAACAGCTGGTCAGCACACGCTCGGGAGGCTGTGCCTCGGCAGCTCGGACAGATGCCTCCTTTGCAAAGGGACCCTCGTGATGCTATTTTCATCTCCTGGGGTCCTTTGCGATCAGGCAGTACTGCCCCTTGCCCAGTGGTCCTGAGCATGGACCACTGCCCGCTATTGTGTGGGATGGAGAGTCCAGCCCACGTGGCCCTTTGGGGCAGTTCCTGGGGAGGGATGGTGAGCTGGGTTATGGTCAGCGGTTGGGAGCCCCGACTCACAGACTCTGCTGCAGACATGGCTCCTGCCCTGTTCCATGGCCCCTGAGAGCTTCCAGGAGCTGCAGGCCACAGAGAGGGCGAGGCCAGGGCCTTGCGTGGGGCTCACCACTGGTGATCCCTCTGTTTTGCTTACTCAGGGAACACGGGAGGAAAATCAGTTGGGCTCACTCCTTTTCTGGAAGGAACACAGGCCTCTGAGTCCTACCGGAGCCTTGGGAGTCTGTCAGGACAGAAGGCCAAATCATTTCAATGGCTACACGGACACCCGTCCTCCACCTTGTCCATCAGAGCCTCCTTCGCAACTGCCAATTGTCCTGCACTGTCCCCACACACAGGTCCATCAGATAGTCCCCAGGCTCAGCAAGAAGATAGTTGTACAAAAACGCACTTGTTTGTTTTTTTTGTTTGTTTTTTTGTACTGGGATTGAACCCAGGGGTGCTCTACACTGAGCCAATCCCCAGCCCTTTCTATTTTTGATTTTGAGACAGGGTCTCCCTAAGTTGCTGAGGTTGCCCTTGTGATCCTCCTGCCTCAGTTTCCCAAGTTGCTGGAATCACAGGTGTGCACCACCTCACTACAACACATATTTCATAGGCTTGCTAAAACCTGAATCTGTCCAAATTGTAAAAAAGATAAAAGCGCTAGAATAGACAGTCTCACAGGGAATGCATGCCTGTCACCTGGACTGCCTTCCATTTGCAGGTTACCCAAAGCACATTTTCATTTCCTCACTGGCCATGGATAAAAGACACTTCTAAAATGCGTTGTATGTTGTTTAAAATTGCGGTAGAGTTTATGTGATATAAATTGACCATTGCAACCACTGCTAGGTGTACCGTTCCGTGGCTTTAAGGACATCACAGTGTTGTGTGACTCTCACTCTCCATTTCCAGAATTTCTTCATCATCCAAAACTGAAGCTGCCCCCATTAGCCAAGAGGTCCCCACTCCCCGCCCCACTCCCGCCTTCTGCTCTCCGTTCCTGGGTACTGGCCTGTTTCACACAGCGCAGCGTCCTCCCTGCCCAGCCCTGTCGTAGCGTGTGTCGGAATCTTGCTTTTTATGAACCTGCATTTTTAAGTTTTCAAAAACTGTGATGCTCTTCTCTGTGGGACCCCGTGCACGGTTTCACCTAGTTACCATTCCCGTTGACTAACTGAGGCGCTGCCCAGCATCTCAGAGAAGCGTCCCGAGGTTTCCAGGATGATGCAGAATCCATGGCACTGTGTGGCCGCAGGGGCTGGTACGACAGAGCGGGCAGGTGCATGCAGAGGGGGAAGCCGGGCCCCGATACCTCGGCCAGGTGACTTCACCTGTTGGTGCCTCCCAGGCCTAGGGTGGCACTGAGGACAATGACAGCAGTGTCTGCCCCCATGGTGGTTGTGAGGAAGAAGGTGGGGGTCACAGAGGCATGGGCACCCTGGGCGGGCCTTACTCAGAGGCAGCTAATAATTCACTTCTTAGATCCGAGGTGGCGGCGTCCTGTGAGCGTGTCCTGGCACCGAATGAAAAGCTGGTGCAGCGCTGGCCCTGTGTCGAGGGAGCTGGGTAGCAACACGGCAGAATGAGGGGAAGGGTCTGCTGGAAGGACCCTCAGTAGGAAGATGTCCTTGAAAAACTGCGACTGATTGTGTCTGGGACAGCACGAGGTTCCCTCTCAGGGCTCCGCTGGGTCTCTTCCCCGAGGACCATCTTTGGGACAGCTCAGTGACAAGACTGAGCCCATAACCCAGTCACTCTCTTAGTCAGGGCTCTTGGCTCCGTCCTGCCGTCCATGGGAGGGAGCAGGAGTGAGGCCATCTCCCGCTGCGGCTCACTCAGCCCGTGACTGAGAAAACTCTCTGATCCAACTCGCCACGTGCACAACTGTCAGGTGACTCCAGGCGAATCTGGCCTTTCCTTCCTGAGGCACAGAACCTAATCCAGTTCTCTGGAGTCAGGATGGGTCCCTTAGTCAGGGGCTAACCAGAAATCACGGGGCACAGTCAGCCACTCAGGGCTGGCTGTGGCCCCAGGAGCGACCGCAGGGCCCGAGGGGACCCACCTCCTCCCAGGCTGGTGACTCAGCTTCACGTGCCGAGTCGGGCACCACGAGACCGCGTCCAGGAACTCCTACAGAACGGGCCTGTGATTTTCTTCTCCCGTCCTCTTTTCTGAGAGGAAGAGTAAACATACAAGTCTTACTTACACACTTGAATTCATTCCTGTTTTTCTGTATCCAAGACTCATGCTTTGCTTTTTTCCAAGACAGACATAAATAAAATGTGGCAAGAGATGCCCAGGCCATGGAAGCCCGACCGAGTCTCCATCAGACTAAAGGGTGTCCTCTGACACCCCAAGAGTGCACCTTGCCCAGCCCGAGGGCCACTGAACACTGAATTTGCATTTCGCCTCCACTTCTCCCTTTGCCGGTCCTCCGAGGCAGGGGTGATGGGAGGGCAAGACGGAAGAGGAAGACAGCTGCAGAATGCAGGATAAGAAGCAGATAGTGGCCAGGGCCCACACCCCAGTCAGAGAACTTTCAGTGGAAAATGACCACATGCAAGGAACTGTGGGTCGAAAAGGGTCACAACACAACCCTGACCCTTTGTGCTTGTGACCTGGCTGGGAGCTAGAAGCGTAGGAGACCAATGCTGTTGTAAGGTGGGATAAGAGTGCCAGCTGAGTGGACAGTAGAAGCCACCATAGAGATTTGGAGGGCACGGCTGAAAAGGAAACTCAGCCTGTCTATGGTAATGGGGACCTTGGGTGAGAAGGGGCGGTGGTACACCTGTACAGGTGGTAAGTGCCAGAGGACACCGGGACTCAGGGATGGACCATTGGCCACCTCTACTTCACTCTTTCCTTCTCTACCCCCAACTCATAAAAAATGGCCCCAGGTCTAGAGGGGGAAATAATCAAGTATCTATTTTTGACCTGTGCAAGGCCACCTAAATGGTTTTCTTTTTTTTTTTTAAAGAGAGAGAGAGAGAGAGAGAGAGAGAGAGAGAGAGAGAGAGAATTTTTAATATTTATTTTTTAGTTCTCGGCGGACACAACATCTTTGTTGGTATGTGGTGCTGAGGATCGAACCCGGGCCGCACGCATGCCAGGCGAGCGCACTACCACTTGAGCCACATCCCCAGCCCTAAATGGTTTTCTTTTTAAGTTATAGGACTTAGCATACATGACACAGTAATAATATGCTTTTTGTTTTGTTTTGGTCCTGTGGATTGAACCCAGGGATGTTCTACCACCAGGCTATTTTCCCAGCTCTGTGTGTGTGTGTGTGTGTGTGTGTGTGTGTGTTTTTGAGGGGTGAGTTTTTGTGTGTGTGTGTGTGTGTATTTTTCATATTTTGAGACTTGGTCTTGTTAAGTTGCTGAGGCTGGCCTCATGCTAGGGATCCTCCTGCCTCAGCCTCCTGAGTAGCGGGGATGACAGGTGAGTGCCACTGAGCCTGGCAGTAGTACTGCTTCCTGATCCCTCTCCTTCACAGAATGTCATATAAATCTAAACAGATAAAAGGGCAAATTGAGCTCCCAAAAGTAAGAGGATCAGCTTACACAGAATAAAAGCATGAGAATTCAGACCCAGGGGGTTTGCAGCATGGAGCAGTATGCCAGCCCCGTGGATGTCTCCCGTGCCCACTCAACTCCACACAAGCCCCTCGTATTTCCCAGGGTGCAGACGGCAGTCTCGCTATTCAGAATGGGGTGCGGCCGACCAGCTGCACTGGTACTTTTCTATCTGTGGATTCTCCAGAGCTAGCTGTGCCCAAGGTCCTTAAGCTGATGCTGATGCTTTGTGGGCAGAGGTGCTCAGGGTTCAGCTTCAGCTGCTTGCCTCTCAGGGCCTCTCTGTCAGCTCTGCCAGGCTCTGCGCCCTCCCTGGGCCTGCGTGTCTCTTGACAAGGTGCCATGGTAACGGAGCTGGAACAGTTTCTAAAGGACCTCCAGAGGCGCCGTTAGGTTCTGTCGTGCGCTGCAACACTCTTGTTTGTTCTTTTTCCCCTGTGTGGCTAATGCCAGGCTGTCACCAACAGTGATGTCTTCAGCAAACAGAGGGCGGGAGCAGAGTCCTGAGTCAAGGAACAAGCAAGGAACAGTGCCTCCTTGTGCCCTGGGAAGGGAAGTTAGGGCAGATCTCTAATTTTTAAAAAATTCCACGAATTTGCTCCAAATGCAGGATTACAAACTCGACATCAAATGGGAGAAATGCTCATGAATAAATATGGCTTGGTGACAGTAAAACCGGGAGCAAGATGACCTGTAATACCACAGGCTCCTTGGTGTGTCCATCAGCATGCGTTAGAGTGTTGAGAGGAAGAGGACCCGGGCAGCAGCAGATAATGAAGACAGGAGGTTTCTTTCCTTTGTTTTTTTTCTTGCAGCTTTTAAGTTTTCTACTGTGAATGTGTATCATCTTAAAACTCAGAATATAACAGTCTGTGTATTCATAAAAACCTCAGCACCCAGAGCTGCTTCCAGATTTGGGAGATGGGTGGAAGGAGGTGATCTCTCCCTGAGCACGTGATTCCCATCTGTCCACAGGAAAGGCCGAGGGGGATGGCAAGATGCACATTACCCTCTGTGACTTCATTGTGCCCTGGGACACCCTGAGCACCACCCAGAAGAAGAGCCTGAACCACAGGTACCAGATGGGCTGCGAGTGCAAGGTGAGCAGGCCTGTGTCTTCCTCGGCTTCCACTGCGTCTCCAAGTGGACAGCTGGGGTATGGGTCCCCAGCTACCCAGGCCCCTCAGTCCACAGGGTCCTGACTGAAGAGCTGAAGAGAGGCTGGCTGGGGACACAGCCTTGGACCCTGGTCCCTAGAGAGCCCTGAGTTGCATCTCTGACAAGGGACATTTGCAGAAGGGGATTTGGGTGGGCATGCTGAAGTTTGTCCCTGCAGCCTCTAGCAAGTCAAGTCTTGTAGGGAAAGGAATTCATGAGAAGGGCCGGTCCTACAGACCTACGTGCAGACCCTCGTGAGCCAGTGCCTCAGGCATGGGAAGGGCTGGTCCTACACACATACAGGTGCAGACCCTCATGAGCCTGGGGAGCCAGTGCCTCAGGCTCCGCGGGTTTCCCAGCATCCCTGGCAGTTCCCCACGGAGCTCCCTGAATGCGTGGGTTCTATTGAGAATGCCTGTCTCCTTCTGCTGCTGGGGGTGCTGGGCAGAACTGTAGCCATGCAAGCCCTCAGAGGCAGCCAAGGCGGGGGAGGGCTTCCCTGGGGCTCCCGGGCTGGGATTCTGCTGTCTCCAGTGCCCTGGCACTTCCCTGCCCCTTCCTCTTCCCCAACACAGGAAGCATTGCTGGGGCATCTCTCCATGTTCCCAGGGTGTGCTGGCTGAGCCAGGCTGCAGGAGTAGCCTGTGCTGGTCAGAGCTGGCCATGGGGCCTCCTCCCCTTCTTGCTGGTGCCCATCCCTTAGCTTGGGCAAGGTGCAAGGTGTGAATTGCAAACCCATGATGTCAGCTACATGCACACCAAGCACAGTGCTCTGCACCCAGCAGACATCAAAAGCCAGCTCTTCCTTTATCTCTGTACAGCCACAAAGGTGGTGACCCTCTTGTGGCTGAGAGTTCCATTGCGAAATGCAAGTTGCTTGTCATCTCGGAGCTCACGCTGGAGAGTAAGGAAAGGACCTTCTTATTTGACAGGGATCTGTCTCCAGGAAATTTCTTTTTTTTTTTTTTTTTTTTTAACTGGGAATTGAACCAGGGGCACTCAACCACTGAGCCACATCCCCAGCCCTATTTTGTATTTTATTTAGAGACAGGGTCTTTCTGTTGTTGCTGTCGCTGCTGTCCTTGTACCTCTAGGAGGGCAGGCTAGCTGTAGTTGTCTCATTGTTAAATGAAGGTGGACAGGAAGGCAGGAGGGGGCAGACTGGTCTTGGCCTTCCCCAGGCGGCCGCCTGCCCTGTATGGAGAGTGTGGGACTCAGTAAGATGTTGTCCTTGAACACCTTTGGTGGCACATGGCTGGGCTCTGGATGTCCCCTGAGTGGCCTTGGCCTCTCTGATTCTTCAGTCCCCAACTAAATCTGCCTGCATGTGTCTCCAGATCACCCGCTGCCCCATGATCCCATGCTACATCTCCTCGCCGGACGAGTGCCTCTGGATGGACTGGGTCACGGAGAAGAACATCAACGGGCACCAGGCCAAGTTCTTTGCCTGCATCAAGAGGAGCGATGGCTCCTGTGCGTGGTACCGCGGGGCGGCACCCCCCAAGCAGGAGTTTTTCGACATCGAGGACCCGTAGGCAGGGTGACCACAGCCCTGTGGCCAAGCGAAAAGCCTCCGAGGGTTTAGACTGGTCCAGCTCTGACATCCCTTCCTGGAAACAGCATGAATAAAACAGTCGTCCAAGTGGGTCCACGTTAGTATGGTTCTGCCCCCACCCCCGTTTTCCTCTGAACACACTTGTGAGTCTGGAGGAAGAGATGGGCCAGGGTCCCTCCCACACTCCCTCCATCCACCACCTGGGCACCGTGTGTCTTGGTCTTTGATTTTTGGGTACAGGCAGGGGTGGGACCCACAGACTTCCTGCCCAGGCATCTTTGTCCCCATCACAGATGCCAGGCAGGCAGCCTGCAGGGGTCTCCCCAGCCTGGTTAGGGCAGAGCCTGGAAATGTGCGTTTTGCAGAAACTCCTGAGGGTCATTGCAAGACTGTGTAGCAGGCCTACCAGGTCTTTGTCATCCTGAGAGGGGCATGTCCACCTCTGGCCTAGGGTGGCAGTCCCTGCCCCCTGCAAGTGTCCCCCATCTTCCCCGGGCCCATCGCAATCTCCTAGCACGTGTGACTCCCTCGGGACCAGGAGTAGCCCTGGAACTGGTGGCTCGTTCTTGGAGGACTCGATCCTGGGAGTTTGCAGAATTCCTCCTTCAGAGACTTGGAGGGAGAGGCCCTCGCTGAGCCATGCTGCAGCTCTAGGCAAGGCCTTTCAGTCCTGCACTGCAGACCTGCGAAGCCCTGAGCTGGGGCAGGTCCAGGGCTGGGGTGCGCCCGGCTGCTCTTAGAGTTCTGTCCTGAGCTTCTCGGGTTGCTCTGGCCTCCTTCCCACCTGCTTCCCCCAGGGCAGTGTATGGCTGGCCACCCGGCTCCCTGTTTGTGCAAACTGAGGACATGATCTTGCTGTGCCCCGGCAGGCTTAGTGAAATCTCCCTCCAAGATAGATAATCATGATTCCGTGCAGATTTCTCCAAGTGATGTGAGCTAAGCTTATTAAGATGTCCCAACCAGGGCACCCAGGCAGCTTGTGTTCAGGCCCTCGGGGCACTGTGGCCTGTTTTAACAGACATCTCATTTTTCTAAAGATGAATTCTCAGATAATATGTGAACCTAAGTGGCAGGTATGCCAAGGCCTGCTTGCTTTCTTATGTCACACAGATTACCCACTTAAAACCCTTCAGAGGGAACTGGGGAGCCGACTTATTCCCTAGAAATGGTCTTCTGATGCCAATAAAATAGGGGTTCAAGTAGGCAGAACTTTCTCAGTCACAATACAGTCGGCCTTCTTTCTCCTTCTACCCATGCTGTAAAGATACGCTCTTCTGGGGACAAACATGATGCTAACATAGACCATATGCACACACACAGAGTGACGCTGAAGCCAGCCACCCCCCACCCTGGCCCCAGGCCCCCGTGAGAGTCCTTCTGCAAAATGCTTCCAAAGTCACCACCATCTAAGCCTGTTCTATTCTGCAGCGACCCCAGAACAACCGTAAGACTCCTGACCCCCGAGGGGCTGCAGCCCCCATGCCCACCCGGGACCTGGTCAGCACAGAACTTGTCGACTCCCCTTTCTAGGACAGACCGGGAGAGCATCCAGGAATCAGCCCCTGCCTTGGGGGCGTTTTCATGCTGTACAGTGATGTCCAGTTGGTGAGATGTCACGATGGACCAGTCCGTGTGATTTCAGTGTATACACCACCACCAGACCCCTGCAGTCAATAGAACACCCCGCCCTGTTTGCTTCCTGTATGGTGATATCATATGTAAGATTTGCTCCTGTTTCTGCTGACTTCTTCAATGTTTCGGGTTGTTTCTGACATCCGCTGTAACCATCCCCATGATGATTTCTTTTTTAATTACCCTTGGTAGGTGTTAGACTTGCACTTTTAAAAAAAAAACAGTTTCTGCATCGAGGAAGCATTGGACCCAGAGTGGACATTGTGGCGTGTAGCTGGCCTGTGGTGGAGGGTCCCTTCAGACCTTCCTGAGCATCTTTGCTCTTTCCACCGCCTTGCTTCTATTCTCTGGTTCGGATAATTGCAAAGTATCTTTGAGTAGGTTGGTCAGGAAAGATGGCCTTTATATTTGGATTTCTGACCATGCCAAGCAAAGTGCCCAGTGGCAGCGGAGGGCCAGGCCGCTCCACACCCTCACAGTGGACAGCCATGACATTTGTACAGGTGAAGAAGGATCTCATTTGGCATTGTTTAATTTATGGTGTCTTCTAAGCACTGCTTTTCTCTCCCTTTATTCTTTTCATCACGCAAGCAACTCAAAATATTTAAAATGAAGTTTACATCGTAGTTGTGTTCAAATCTTTGCTTGATAAGTATTAAGGAATATCAGACTTGCTGCCGTAATTTAAAGCTTTGTTGATTTCATTTGTTTTTGTTTGGATTTTTATGTTGTTGTGGGGGGAGCAAAGTGTTCTTCGTGCTGGGATGTGAAGTCCGAGACCCCCCTGTGCTGGGAGCACGTGAGAGTCGTGGAGAGTCAACCTGCAGACTGCGCATGTCTCTGCTGCTTTGTATCATTTTTGAGTGACCGCTCCGTCAATGGACAATAAACAGTATTATCAAAGAGACTGCTGGCTCGCTCTGTGTGTCTGATTCGGACGTTCAGCACTGCCACTGTCTAGCTCAAGGAGGGGCCAGGCACTGTCTGGCAGGCACAGGGTCCTGTGTCTGAGGAAACCTGTGAGGCTATCGTGCTTTGAAGACATGGCAGGCAGAAGGGAAGACAGCTCTTTTTCCTTTTTGGTACTGGGACTGAACACAAGGGTGCTCTACCACTGGGCCACATCCCCAGCCCTTTTTATTTTGAAAAAGAGTCTGGTTAAGTTGCCCAGGCTGGCCTCCAACTTGTGATCATCCTGCCTCGGCCTCCTATGTCAATGGGGTCACAGGTGTGCACCACCACGCCCAGCCAGAACTATTTTTAAACATGTCCAAAATGTTTTTATCACACCTTAATCACCTACTTAGTATTTATTAATGTCGTCAAGTAACCTAGTCAGTGTTTTGACATCTCCAATTATCCATGAATGCCTTTTGAAGCTCTATTGCTCTGAGTCAGGACCCAGATAAGCCTCACTGGCTGCAATCAGTTCATGCTGTGGTGTAGGTTTGGTTTGAGCATGCCCTGCAAAGCTGTGTGTGCTGGTCCTCAGTGTGGACATTAAGACATGGGGTGCAGTAGGGTCATACTGGCCCCTCCCTGCTCTCTGACCTCTCCCTCTTGCTTGAGTTCCCACCATGATGCCCTCCAGCATGATAGGATGCAGCCAAGGGGGCCCTCACCAGAGGCCACATTAATGCAGCTCCCCAAATTTCAGCCTCCCTGTGAGCTAAACAACTCTCTTTTCTTTACAAATTAACCCTCTAGCCTTCATGCAGAATTTGTTATTCTGGAGCAGTGGGAAGAATTGTTTCCCACTCTACACAGCTAAGCAGTGCAGTCAGCAGAACAAAGTTTGTTCCCTCATCTCTTCCATAAGACATGTGAACACCATCCACTTAACATCACCCATGCAGGGTATTTGGATGGTTTTCCCCTGTGGAACAATACCTGGGGCACTACAAAGAACTAATATTTTTTTAAAAATTAAAATATTAAAAAAATATTTGAGGGAAGTGGCTCAGCTGCACATAACAGTAACACAGAGACTTTCAGTGTCACACAAATGGCTTTGCCTGGAGTTTGTGGCCTCTTTAACCTATAAGCCACCTTAGGGGTCTCAGCAAACAACACACAGAGGATGGCTACTTATTTCATTTATGGATGTATTTAGGTCAAATATGACTTTAAAAGAAAACAGCAAAACTTCTTAGGGAGATTTTCAAACATACACAAAAACAAAACAAAATCCCACAAAGAATGGTATAACAAATTCCATGTGCCCCTGATTCCAGTTTAAGAAAAAAAAAATCCAAGTTTTGTTGGTCTTTGTAAACAATTTTAAATCCATCTGAGGATTTACACACTGGGGTGCCCAGCTGCTGCTAGTCCCCATCACACTTGCTCACCCTGTGAAAGAAAGTAAGGGGGACAACTGGAGCAGCCAGCCAGCAGACTGTAGGTCCTAACTGCAAATACAAGATCCAGGCTAGACAGCCAAGGGGCTGGTGGGGGTCAGGGGCCACCAGGACGGCTGGTGGAAGAGTCTTGAGTCTGGTTACTGCACACCCTAGGAGAGCACTATTTCTGCCCATTAGTAGGATTATAGGATGGGAAAGATTGCAGTCCTTTAAATGCCCTAAAAATATCTTTAAAGTACCCTACCAGTGGACATCTTTACCTTACTTAACTTTAATAAAAAGGTGTTCGTTTTTATCACAGGTGATTTGCTGTGACCACAGACTTTGCCTTAACACTGAAGTTCTTGGATGGGTGGTCTGCCTGTGGCCTTGGGCTCCGGCTGTGAGAGGACCCCTCACTCGCCTCACTGCTGCCTTGAATCTTTTACAGTGAGAGGCAGAGCTTTGATATAGGGGAATTATTTTGGTCTCTTAGCAACTTTTCTCCTCCAAGAAACAAATTGACTGTTGAAAACAAGACATTCAGAAACAAAATGATATGGAGATTTTCATTCTGTGACAATCAAGAGGAGTATTCTAATGAAAATAGCCAAATAAAACGTTAGACAAATCCATGTTTGAGCCTGCAAAAGAAGTGGGGTTTGGGTCAACATCAGAGAAGGGTGTGAAGGTAGATTTGAGGTGGGGTGCAGAAGTCATGCTGCCTATCTATCTAGAAATAAAGAGGCTGGGCTGGGTTAAAAAAAAAAAAAGTATGCAAAGCAATAGTTAGCCTGAATAAAACCCAGGCCTCCTCATTTCCCCACCAGTTGCCGGCTTCCTAGCTCAGAACACATACAGGGAATCACCCGTTTTATACAATGTATCAGGACTTGAATAGGGAGAGTTGTCTCTGAGTCCTTGAATAGAGCCCACTCTGGTCAGGGGACAGGAGAGTGGTCAAGAAGCAAAGAGTAAAATCTCAAATTAAAACTTTTAGCAGAATGGGGTTTGTTTGTTCCTTTGGGTAGTGGGGACTGAACCCAGGGGTGCTTTACCACTGAGATGGCTCTGCAGACTTTTTTTTTTTAAAACAGGGTCTCATTCACTAAATTGCTGAAGCTGGCCTAGAACTTGCAATCCTCCTGCCTCAGCCTCCTGAGTTGCTGGGATTACCAGGGTGACCCACCACACAGGGCAAATAAAGAATTCCTACACAGAGGACACAATTTTAATCTCAAAACTATTGCAGTTTTGTTTTTGCTTGTTTGCTTTTCCAAAGAACACTAGCATCTAAGTAACAAACGTGAGGCGAACTTTGTTCAATCACATCTATGCCTTCTCTCCCTCTTCAGTCCTGGCTTATAGGTGTGTGGAGGGACTGGAGATCAGCTCCGGGCGATGCGCTTGTGGTCTCGCCTGGCTCATCACTCTACTTATCAGCCAAGGAACACAGGGATCATGTACGCAAGTTCTACCTTTTGGAAAAAACAGTTTATGCCTGTGCTGCTCTGGTAGCTCCTGAAGTCGGGCCAGGGGCCGCTCTCTCCATCTGCCTTGGAGAAGGGGACAGGAAAGCCCATCAAGTCCAGGGCTAGGGAAGTTTTAGAAATATTGCAAAGGCGATCCCCGTCTGTAACTCTTCGGCCGAGGCCTCCACGTACAGTCGTGTAGGGAAAAACGATCGGAGGTGACGGCTGGGGTTGGAGGATCGTGCTCAGGTATCCAGAGACTTCAAAAGCTGAAAACCAAAACCGATCCCTCACCCCAGGAGCCAGCTCCCCGGTACCGGGCTCATCGCGGGGGAGCTGCGAGCGTGCCTTCCTTCCCAATGGCACAAAGCCCGAGTCGGCCAGGCGCCGCTCTCTCCGCAAGGCCAGGTGACAGGCAGGAGCCCCTCCCGCGCGTGAGAGGCTCGCCGCCCTCCTCCGCTGGCCGGCCCGGGGAGCCCCCGCTCTGCGCCTCGGCTAGCGGCAGCCGCCGGCCCAAAGGCACGCCGTGGACCCGGAAGTGGCGGTGCCGCGAGAGCTCGGCGGAAACCGCTCGCGCCACGGCCCGGGGGCGGGGCGTCTCGGCTCTGCGCGCTTGCGTCACTGCGTAGGCTGGCGGGACCTCCGGACCGGGAGGCGACGCTGACGGAGCGTCAAGCGGCGGTGGGCGGATCCAGGGAGAGGGCCCAAGATAGCCCCGCCTCTTAAAGCAGCCCGGGCCTCTCGGTGCCGGCCAAGAGCGGCCGCAAAGTGCGACTCCTTTAAGCGTCCCTGTGACACGTGTGTGAGGCGCTGGAGGCCCGGATGGTGCGCGTGCGGCCCGGGCCGAGGAGACGCCAGCGCTGCGCGGGCCTGCTGCAGGCCGCTGGGGGCCAGGTTAGGCTGGGGCCGGGCGGGGCGGGGCGGGGCGCGGCGCAGGCCCACGAGGGGGCTTCCGCCGGGCCTGGGGCGCGGGAAAGGGTGGCGGGGCGCAGGGCACTCGGGGCGCTCGGAGAAGGCGCGGGCGCGCTTCCGCCCGGGTCCGGGATGTCCGCGGTGCGCCGGGAGATGCGGTGTCCACGAAGGGCTCGGGAGGACCCCGCGGAGGGCCGTGAGGGTCCACGAGGGGCTCGGGGTGACCCCGCGGAGGTCCACGAGGGGCTCGGGGTGACGAGGGGCGCGCCGGGGGATGCGCTGTCGGATGCGCTGTCCGCGTGGGGCTCGGGGTGACCTCACGGAAGGCCATGAGGGTCCACGAGTGTCTCAAGGTGGCCTGGGGGATGCTCTGTCCACAAGGGTCTCGGGGTGACCCCGGCGATGGCCACGAGGATTCACCAAGGTCCTGGCACGACCCAGGGAGCACCAGGAGGTTCGCTGTCTCCGAGGGGCTCGGGGTGACCCAGTGGAGGGCCATGAGGGTCCACGAGGGCCTCAGGGTGACGTGGGGCGTGACAGGGGATGCGCTACCCGCTGGGGTCTCTGGGTGACCCCACCGAGGGCCAAGAGGATCCACAGAGGTCTTGGGATGACCCAGGGAGCACGGGGGCAGGGGATACGCGGTTCCGAGGGACTTCAGAAGAACCTCAGGGAGGGCCCGAGGCCGAGCCTCAGTGAAGAGGTGTGAGGCCATGGTCCATGCAGGGATTGGTGTGGGCCCGGGGAGAGCTGTGTCATCAGGGGTCGGTGGTGTCTTCAGAAAAGTCTTGGGTCCTGGATTGTGCAGTCCAAGCACGGATTTGCTGTGACCCTGCAGGGATGGAGGGCACAACTGGACCCAGGTAGGAGCCAAGGGCAGGGGAGAAAGTAACAGACTGTGTCCAGTTGGGCAGCCTTTACCCACAAAAGTATCCTTTATCCAGGGACCAGACTTTATCCAGGGCTAGGTCAAAGTGGGTTGAGAGTGTTTTGTGTGTGGAGCAGAGACGTGAGATACGAGAAGGTAACCTTCCTCATGGTCACCATGGAAGAGCGCAGTGATGAGACCTGGCAGGAGGTGTGGCTTTAAAGTGCCAGTTGCTTATGATGGGTTGGTTGTATGACATGCTCCCTAGAGCCCTTAGTACCAGAGTACTATCCTAAAACAGACAGGAGAGGGAAGAGTACCCCACTGCACACATAGTCCTGTTTCTGCAGTGGATGCCAAGAAGCAGGCTCCAAGGAGACATTGGCTCTGCCCAGGATGCATGGGGTGTCTTGCAGGCCCCTCTAAGGGGCCCCAAGGAGGCCCCAGCCCTCTTGTCTTGGGCTGGTCTTGTGAATCTTGAGTGCATTTTATCTTGGAAGTGAATTTAAAGGGAAGAGGGAGGGAGAGAATGTATTTAAGAGGCTTTGTTACAAGGAGGCTGCACTTGAGTCATCTCAGAAGCAGAAATGTGTGTCTAAGCTGTAAGCTGTTCTTGGACTGCAAGAAGTCTGGACTGCAGAGAGCATCTGTGCTAAGAAGGATGCACACCAGAGGCTGGCTGGTGATTGCAAGAATATGTTTCTTGGTTCCTACACCTCAGAGAGTGAGCAGTTTTTAGGTCATTACTTAATGTTTCAGGTGGAGTTGGAGATATTGATCTTTCTGCCACAACTTGAAAAATTGTTGAAAATATTCGACTCTGCATTAGATAGTTTGTTATCCATGATGGAATTTGATTAAATTTCCTGAGTGTTTGCTTAATCCTCTAGCTAGGTAGCTTCTGAACGTGAGCTAGTGGACCCATATTGGTCCAGGACAGGATTCTCATCTGGCCATGGTAAGGTGTGAAATCATGACCCAAAAAAATCCCAGTGACGTTTCGGGGAGGGTTTTGGAGGAATGGATGTCATCTCTTTGCAGATTGTCCCTTATTCTGAGTTCATTCCATTATGGGGTTTTTTGGTGGGGGATGTTGATAGGGTTTTATTTAAGGGTGGGATGGAAGGTATGAGATTTGCTGCACAGCAGCCTGGGTTGGGGAGAGCTAATCAGGATTGGTCAGGCAGCTACTGAAGCTGAGCACTGGGGCCATGTTCCCTCTATACTTTGTATGTTTGAATTTTTGCTGTAAACATTTCTAAGCACCTTAATTATATATTAATTAACTATAGATAGAAGTTAAAGTCTATACCTAGTAAAGTAAAAGCTTGACAACTTTATTATTACCCGTTACTCTTTGGAGATAAGATTTAAACTTTAGTGGACTGGCAGGTGTGGAGAGTGTCAGGGTAAAGATGTGGAGCAGGTAACAGTGTCCTCCTTGTGTGTACATTGCAATAATTTGTGGTTGGTTAGCACAGTTCTCTGGACGTATCCTGAGCTTAGCCACAGAGATATCCCTTTAACCTTAATGATGACTTTGTCCTGGTAAAAGGTCGCAATTCCCACACAGCATTCATGGAAAGACTGAAGAGACAGCAGGGAAGAGTCATCCTGGGTCATGGTCTCACTGCTTGCCCACAGGTGCTGACACCCTTTCTGGACTCTGCATGTGGCTGCATTGGCGACTGAACAGGCCATCCTCTGGGAGTCCCTGGATTGAAGTGCCCAGTCAGAGAACTTGATTCCCCTCTGTTGGGGGAGCAGCCCACCTCGGCCAGGCATCCCAGGTGAGCCTGCAAAGGTTTGAGTGCCTCTTTCTTGCCTGTTTGCTGAGTGCGCCCAGCTGAGTTAGTTGCTTTGGCAAGAAGTCTCAGATAATCCCCACTCGGCAGTTTCTGGTGAGGACACCAGAGCGCCGTGCTTTCTTTTTTAAAGAATAACTTCCTTGGATTTCTCTTCTTGTATGGAATTAGGGGGCCCACGGTAAGAGATTTGAAAGACTTAATTAGAGATCCATGGATTCACTAGGTCAGACTTTGGGGTGTAACTAGCTAATTCCCTAGGCACTCCTAGTTCGGGGTACCCTGGGAACTCTCATTTGTCTGGAGGGAGTGAGCAGTTTCAGGGACAAGTTTTTCTGACTCAGTCTAAGCTTTGGCTAGGACAGGGGGTGGGGAGCAGGGTGATGTGGGTGGAGCTGGCTGAGGTGAGGGAGGGATTTCCCTCCTTGCAGAGTCTGCACCTGCCAGTGGTGGCAGGCCCAGTGTAACGAGCCCGCTCTCTAGTCCCTGCAGCCAGCTTCCCACCTGTTTTTGTCTGTATTTTACAATCCAAGAACAGGAGATCTTGTAAAAAGTACTCGTCCCTGGATGGGTAGTTAAAGATGACAGAGTGACCCAGACTGGCTACCTTTAAAACTTGTATCCCCTCCTGCCTACTTCTCCTTCCTTGCTATTTGAAAGAGGTGGGAGAAACTTTGTCTAACATTAGGTGTCTTGTACATGCTATTCCAGGTCTGATCCTTTGTTCTTTTCTCACTTCTTCATTTTTTAAAAAATTACTTTGTTTCCTTTTTGGTTTTGTTCCCTTAGTTTTAGATGATTTGTACATACAGTGATAGAAATATGATGAGAGCCACAAATGTAAAAGTTTTACTGCAGCCACATTGGAAAAGTAAAAAAGGGAGGTGAAGTTAATTTTCATTTTTTTAAACCCAATATATACAAAATATTATCATTTTGACATGTAACCAGTTTCTGAGATGTTTTGCATTCCTAACTAAGCCTTTAAGTCTGGTGGCGTGTTTTCTGCTGGGGACTAGCCTCATTTCCCGTGCTCAGGAGACTCGTGGTCCACGGCCTTCTTCTGAAGAGCATAGGTCTACAGACATGTGCCCATCCCCTTGTGTGCTGATCCTTTATTACAAGGCTATATGTGTGTAAGTAACCAGAGCATGTATGCAACTAAGTGTTTCCCTGCTCTTGAGCCCTGTGTTGTCCCTTTGAAGGAAATAGCCTGACTTGTAGACATTTGGTGTATATTGATTGAGGGCTCGAGGCAGGGTGGCCTAGCAGCCCAGATGCTATCCCTGGGCATTCTCAGCTCTTTGTGCACTTGTCTTGAGTTTTTGGTACCAGGGATTGATCCCAGGGGTGCTTAACCATTGAGCCACATCCCCAGCTCTTTTATTTTTTACTTTGAGACAAGGTCTCACCGAGTTGCTCAGGGCTTGCTGAGTTAGTGAGGCTGGCCTTGAATTTGTAATCCCCAGCCGCTGGGATTATAGGCGCTTGCCACCTTGCCTGGCTGTACATGTATCTTGAGAAGTGAAGTACGGACTCTCATGGGTCTGTGTCTTCCTGTCTCATGCTTCCTTGTAGGATGGTAGCTGACCAGGGAAGCTTTTGTGATGGCTAGATTCCATGATGACCAAGCGGAAGCTCTTATTCCTTGGACATAGTGATTGTAGATTTGTGTTCCTTCTAGTCCCCACAGGAATGCACCATGCCAATAGTCGATAAGTTGAAGGAAGCCCTGAAACCCGGTCGCAAGGACTCGGCTGAGGATGGGGAACTGGGAAAACTCCTGGCCTCCTCCGCCAAGAAGGTCCTTTTACAGAAGATCGAGTTCGAGCCAGCCAGCAAGAGCTTCTCCTACCAGCTAGAGTCCTTGAAGAGCAAATACCTGCTGCTGAACCCCAAGACGGAGGGCGCCAGTCGCCCCAGGAGTGGAGATGAGGCTCAGGCCAGGAGACAGGGTATGGACATGCAGGGCACAGGCAGGGAGGCCTCTCTCGGTGTTGGCTGAGTGGTGGGCCCACTGTGGGCACTAGAATGTCACAGGGAGTGCTGGACTTCACGTGGGGTCCATGGGCATCGGTTGTAGATGTTTCTAGGAAGATGGTGTGACCTAGGGGTTCTTCATAACAAACTCCCCCTTTCCCCCCACCCCGCCACCTCCAGTGATCTCTTGCCCTGGGTTTAATAGAATTGAAAGCCAAGCTTGGAGGTAGAGAAATGAGGTAGACTGCATGTGGCCATAACTGGGCCCTGTGCCAAGGCCCAGATCCTTCATCTCCACAGGGGTCTGAATTCTAGAACTGAGCGGTCAGGAAGCCCCTGGTGTGACTGCTCACTCTGAGCTGGCTCCCTGGGGTGTCCAGTCCTGGGGGTACTAGTGCCCTCCAGTGAGCTGTTCTGACCAACCACATGCTAAGAAAATGTCTAGGGTTCTTTTGGGGTCTGCCTGTGTAGACTTATTTGTCTCCGTTTCTTCCCTTGTTCCTTTTTTCTTTAGGGAGTGAGCGCCCGTGTGGTAGTGATGGAGTCCCAGCCCCACAGAAAGTGCTCTTCCCCACAGAGCGCCTGTCTTTGAGGTGGGAGCGGGTTTTCCGAGTTGGCGCAGGGCTACACAACTTGGGCAACACCTGCTTCCTGAACTCCACCATACAGTGCTTGACCTACACAGCGCCTCTGGCCAACTACCTGCTTTCCAAGGAGCATGCACGGAACTGTGAGTGGGGGCTGGCATTACGGGGTAACTGAGCTAGTGGAACCATTCAGTCTCCATCAGAGAAACCCGTACACTCAGGCACTGTTAAAGATAACACCTGGATCACCCTGGTGGAGTTGCTGATGTGTAGTAACTGTTAAAACCCACCTGGAAGGGGAGCACACCTGCAGTCCCAGCTGCTCAGGAGGCTAAGGCAAGGGGACTGTGAGTTTAAGGCCAGCCTGGACGACATCGTAGGGCCTCCTCTCAAATTAAAAAAAGCCCACATTTTAATTGGATTTGCTGTAGAATAGGATGTGCAAGTTTGTTTGTGTTCTCCAAACTCTTCTGAAGGTGATTACACAAACAGAAATGAAGGTTTGCAAAAGATAGCCCCAAAGTACATATATTCAATTCTGTATACCAGTGTTGTACGTACACTGTAAAACATGTCTCGGGCTGGGGCTGTAGCTCAGTGGTAGAGCGCTTTCCTCTCACGTGTGAGGCACTGGGTTCGATCCTTAGCACCACATAAAAAATAAATTAATAAACAGATATTGTGTCCATCTACAACTAAAAAAGTATTTAAAAAAAAAAGTTTCAAAGTAGAAGTTAAAATGATTTAAAATATGACATCAAAAGCCAGGTGTGGGGCTGAGGTTGTAGCTCAGTGATAGGTGGGGCCCTGGGTTCAATCCTCAGCACCACATTAAAATAAACAAATAAAATAAAGGTTTAAAAAAAAAAAAAAGCCAAGCTTGGGGCTGGGGTTGTAGCTAAGTGCTAGAGTGCTTGCCTAGCATGGTGAGGGACTGGGTTCAATTCTTAGCATTGCATATAAATAAATGAGTAAAATAAAGGTACATCAACATCTAAAAAAATACTTAAAAAAAATTCCAGGTGTGATGGGGGTACCTCTGTAACACCAGCAACTTAGTGAGACCCTGTCTGTAAAGGAAAAGTTAAATGGTCTAGGAGTGGAGCTCAGTGATTAAGCACCCCTGGGTTCAGTCTTCAGTACCAAAATTAAAAAAGATTTAAAAAAGGATCAAAAGTCCGAGGAGTCTTTTTAACTATTAAAGACAGTGAAGGGGCTGAGGTGGTGGCTCAGTGGTAGAGCACTTGCTTACCATATGTGAGACACTGAGTTCGATTCTCAGCACCACACATAAACAGATAATATTATATATAAAGTAAAGGGCTGGAACTATGGCTCAGTGGTAGAACGCTTGCCTAGTATATGTGAGGCACTGGGTTTGATTCTCAGCACCACATAAAAAAATAAATAAATAAACGTTATAAAAATATTTTTTAAAAATGAAGCAAATGACTTCAGCATCAGACTAGGATGATATCATGGGTAAGGGTTTTTTGTTTTGTTTTTTTCTTTTGTGCTGGGGATCAAACCCAAGGCCTCACATGCATGCTAGGTAAATGCTGTACCCCTGAGCTACATCCCAGCCCTTATAGGTAAGTTCTGTGAACTAAATCATGCCGATTCTTCACAAAGTCATCTAGAAAATCAGAAAAGAAAATATTCCCCTCCTTGTTCTGGAAGGTTCTTATAACTTGGATTTCAAAATTAAGGATAATATGAGAAAGAAAATTAATAATCTCATGAATTAGGTTTAAAATTCTAGATGAAATACTAGCAGACTGAATGGTTTTTCAGAACATGAGCGGGGGACTATGAAGGCATTTTGCTGCCAGGAAATCTCATGAAGTTGCAGGGCCACAGCACTGTAGCTGAGGACCTGGAGCTGGCCTGCAGGCCTGCCTCCCAGTCCTGCTGGGAGTCTACCTGCCTTCTCTGTGCCCCCTGTCCTGGGGTGCAGAATAGCATCATCCTTACAGAGTTGTCACGAAGCTCAGGTGGCTATGTGAAATGCTGAGCGCAGGGCTGGGCACACAGAAAGTGCTGTATAAGTGACTGCTAATTTTGCTACCTATGCAATTAATTGCTTTATTAATGAAGTGAAAGAGAAAAGTCAGTTGAAAACATTCCTAATTAAAAGAAATACAACTCTTAGCAGAGTAGTAATACATGGGCATTTCCTTACCCTGATAAAAGCACAAGTGCTAAAAAAAACACAAAAGGCACAGAGCACCATTCTAAAGAAGAAAGTCCTGGAAGTGTACACTTCAGATCATGGTGAGGCATGTGTGGCTGCCCTCACCACCTCTGTTTAGGACCGTGGTGCTCCTGGCTGGGTGCAGTGGCACTGGCCTGTAGTCCCAGCAACTTGGGAGGCTGAGGCTGGGGATTGCAAGTTCAAGGCCAGCCTCAGCAACTTAGGCTTTGAACAACTTAGTGAGACCCTGTCTCAAAATAAAAAATAGGGCTAGGGATTAAACTCAGTGGTAGAACACCCCTAGGTTCAATCCCCAGTGCCAAAAAAGAAAGAAAGAAAGATTGTGTTGCACCTGGCCAGAGCAGTGGCATATAGGAAAGGAGGGGAGAGTACTATAATAATTTGAAAACATGTGAAATCAAGAGAATATGTAGACAAATTAGCAAGAGGAATTTGGCAATGTGACTAGACATAAAATCAACATATAAAATTTAGCTGAATTTTTCTATACCAAATAAACAATTTACTATCTTAAAAAAATAGCAACATAAGCAATAAAGGCTAGACCTAAATTTAGTGAGGTGCATTGGAAAACCTTCACTGAAGGACATTAATTGACAGCCTACCTGAATGGACAGAAAGTTGCCTTAACAGGAGAGAGACTTCTCATTATAAAAATGTTGGTTTTCAACGGGTGTGGTAGTACAGAGACTCGGGAGATTGAGTCAGTAGGATCCCAAGTTCAATTCAGCAAGGCCCTAAACATCTTAAGGAGACCGTCTTGAAATGTAAAAAGGGCTTAAGATGTGGCTTAGTGATAAAGCACCCAGGGTTCAGTCCCCAGTACTAATGAAAATGTTGTTTTTTTTCCCCAGATTTGTAGATTAATGTTCATCCAGTTGGTTCTAAAATTTAATAGAAAAGCAAGGGACCAAAAATGGCCAAAATACCATTTATTTGCTGGTGGTGTGTGTTTTGCTGGGAATGAAACCCAGGACCTGGCACATGCTAGGCAAGGGCTGTACCATTGAAGTAACATTTCCAGACCTCAGAGGCACTTCTGAAGAAGACGTCTATGAGAAGGGATATGTTCTACCAAATAGAGGCTTGCTGTATAGTCTCAGAGGTGAAGCAGTCATAGTGTTAGATGTAGGAGGGATGTCCTGACCAGTGGAGTAGAACGGAGAGCCCAGAAGCAGGCCACATACCCATGGATATGTGGAGGTGCAGACTGACTGTACATAATCGTACTTGGGTCTGTCATTTTAATAACTGGAATCAAAACAAACACTTTGCTTTACCTAGATAGACACTGACACAGGGTTTTGATATCAATCATTTGCAAAAGAGAAGAGTGGATGAAAAACAGTATCAAAAGAAAAACTCAGTGCATTTAGAATAAATGTAGGTAAATAGTTTTTTTTAAAACTCTGCTGATGTTATCTTTTGAGAGTCTCCTATCTAAAGTCTTTCTTTTTTAATATTTATATTTTAGTTGTACTTGGACACAATACCTTTATTTTATTTATGTACATGTGGTGCTGAGGATTGAACCCAGGGACTCGCATGTGCTAGGCAAGCACTCTACTGCTGAGCCACAACCCCAGCCCGGTAAATAGTTTTTTGACCTTAGGGGATTTCTTAAAACTTAAAGCATGGATCATTAAAAAAAAATTGGTAAACTCAGATGTATTAGCTTTAAGGACTTCTGTTTATCAGAAAACAAATATATCTTGGCATTGACAAAGTCTGTGTAGGGAATGCCAAGACATAGTGAGTTAAAGAAAATTAAAAGACCAGTTACAAGCCTGAAATGAACAAACAAAGCATTGGTGTTAAGAATGTATAAAGAACTAAAAATCAACATAAATGATTGTTAAAAAATAGATAAAATTGCTAGGCGCAGTGGCACACGCCTGTAATCCCAGTGGCTCCGAAGGCTGAGGCAGCCTCAGCAAAAGTGAGGTGCTAAGCAATTCAGTGAGACCTTGTCTCTAAATAAAATACAAAATAGGGCTGGGGATGTGGCTCAGTGGTCTAGTGCCCTTGAGTTCAATTCCCGGGAACCCACCACCACCACCACTACCACCCTGCCTGCCAAAAAAAAGATAAAATTGCTGGATGAGGTGGCACACGCCTGTAATCCCAACAGCTTGGAAGGCTGAGGCAGGAGGATCACAAGTTCAAAGCCAGCCTCATCAACTTAGCAAGACCCTGTTTCAAAATAAGAAATTAAAAGGGCTGGGCATGTGGCTTAGAGGTCAAGTGCCCTGTGTTTAACACCAGTACCAAAACAAATAAATAGATAAGTAAAATAAAATAATAGATAAAATTAGAAGAGGCAATTCAAGGTATCAAAGAAGCACATGCTATGATGTTCAGCGGGGTAGTCCTCGAGGAGGTCATGAAAATCACAAAGGGTATCATTTCTCTCACCTTTGTGAGTCATAAAAGTTCAGAGGTTCAGTATGATTGTTAGGATGAAGCTCAGGGATTCTTTTTATACTCCCAGCCTGAACTAGCATGACTGCTTTGGGAAACAGTATGGCATTAACTTTCACAAAGTCTATCACCCGGCAATTCTGCTCCTACAGCCAGGATCTAGCATGGGTGTAAAAATGTCTGCTGGTATAGTCCTGGCTCCTTGATGGCTGAGGCAGGGGAATCACTCAGGTCTGCTAGTGAGACCCCACCTCAGAAAGTCTTAAAATGAAAAATAGAAAACATCATAAAAATATCTGCAGCAAAAGACAGCAAGCAAAAGCCCAACCACAGAGCAAGGCAGAGCTGACAGGCAGCTTCTGAGGGTCCTGCACAGGAGAGATCCCCCGGGAGCCAGGTGGTGTGACTCCTCCTCATGTCGCTGACATGCAGACCGGGAATGGAGCATTGAGGTGCACGTGTATGTGGAAGGAAAGGGACCAAGAGGATAGGTGAACAGTTCAGAATCAGGAAACGAGAGTGGAACCAGAGGCAGGGGCATGGAGAAGGCAGGAGCAGAGCTGGGGCAACGTTGTGGGGCTGTGTGCTGAATGCAGGGGGTGGGTTCTCTTGTGAAAGAGAGCAACGGGAGGTGCCGTATGGTGCAAACAGCATTAGTGAGTGCACACAGCCACGGAGGGCCGGGGCCACTCCGTGCCCTTCGAGGGTGAAACTGGTGCTTCCCACTGGGACCCACCCTGTTTCCAGTAGTCTCCTTGGTGACTTGGAGGTTGTCCAGGTGGCCTTCTGAGTGTGCTTTGGCAGGTGTCCTTGTGTTTCTCTCTGGCTCTGGCAGTGAGACAGTGAGGTCGTGCTGCCATCTTCCTCCTGCTGTCTCCCTACAGAGCTAGCTGTCTTCCATTCCGGGTTTCTCTGCACGAGTATTTTTTGAGCCATTTTTCTGCTTTGTGATGATGAATGTAGTTAAAGTAGGTCACGTCTCTAAGTCCTGGTGACGTGCACAGGTAAGTGGCATGGATCGGTAGCAGGCCTATGAGTGAACAGTTGTGTTGTGGTCAGTGCCTCTGGGTGGACTGCCCACTCTTCCTCCTGTGAGCAGCACTGGCTGCCCTAGTGGAGGCTACTGCCACTCTGAAGTATTAATGCATGCAGTGTCCCGGCATTCTGTGTAAGATGTATGGAGAAGAGGCATGGTCCTTCCTCCCTGCACCCCACCCATACCTGAGAGGGCCCCGTGGGACTGGGCTGTGCGCTATCTCTCCCAGTGCTGCTAGAGGAGCCCTGAAGGTGGAGGCTGCACTGCACCAGGGGCCTCCTGAGCAGCAGTGAGATGGAAGACCAGCCCGTGAGCAACCCCAGAGGGACACAGGCAGGCCCTGAGCAGCAGTGTCCCTGAAGTCCTGGGAGTCACTTTTGAGTTATGGTTTTATAAATTGCATGAAAAAGTGTTTGTCCCTGTACGACTTAATCTCAGACACTGCCAGGGTTTGGGGAAACTGCACCTTAGGTTATACCTTGCTCTGTTTAAGGGGTGTTGTGTGAGGCTGGGCATTAGTGGGCTCCCACATGGTGAGGGGACACACACTTTCCATACGCCTTTCCTATCCTCATTAAGGTTAGATCTTGAACAGAAGGGCTTTTAACAGTTTTTAAAGTCCCTATTTTGTTTTAAATTACTAATTCTAGTTTATGAGTCCTAATTTTTGAGTCCTCCAACCATTGCTATCATTTTTAAAAAAAATGTAATGAATGGATATGGTTTGACAGGTCAGAAGTCTACGGTGAAAACTAGGTTTGTGAATGTTCTTGGAGACATGTGAAACAGCTGTTCACAGGATTGCTATGCCGTGGGGAGATAGTGGTGACAGGACTAGCACTGCGTCTACAGCAGTATTGTAAAAACCAGGCTGCTGATAGCGATGGAGTTTGTAAGCAAACAGCAGTTATTGCTTATGGATACACACCATATGTGCACACTACAGGAATGGCCTCGTCCCAGGTAGTGCTCACCTGGATGAAGGAACCTAGAGATGGGATTGGGAGAGTTCAACTCTTACACTAGTGTTTTAGTTGCAAGACACCTAAAATGGAGTGGGGTTGGGTGGTATGATAGTCTTTGTACATCTTTTTGTAGTTAAAATACATCTCAATTGTAGAGGTAAGAATGTGCCACTTGGGTCTGTTCCTAGTGAGAAGCCAGTTCTTTACATCCAGCAGGGGTCAGCAGGTGGATGTGGGCCGGACCTGGTTTGTAGTCAGGTTTTGTTGAGCACTTGCATACCTGTCATATTGTGTGTGGCTGCTTTTGCATTACAGTGGCAGAAGGGCACTGTTGTGATGGACATTGCACAGTTTACAAGACCAAAAATATTTGCTGTTTTGAGCCTCAGTTTTCAGCACTGATGAATGGCAGTGAGGTATTTACTGCACACAGCAGAGCCGAGGTACCTGCATTTGAGGTGCAAACTGAAGAACCATCAGAAAGCCTTAAAATACTTAAGAATGTTGGCCAAATGACATAACTTAGAAACTAAAGGAGATATTTTTCTGAGCTTCCTGTTGAAAGTTGAGCTTATCCTTTGTATAAATGATAATGGTGCGGCATGACCAGTGACTACCTGCAGTGCTGGTGTTCAGTGTGTAGAGCTACCGCTGTGGGCGAGTCATGGCCACCCCCCAGCACTCTCCAGCAAAGGGAGCATTTTCCTTCTGATCCCGAGTCCATAGCCCTGGGATCTCTGCCACCCAGCCGACGATCTTCACAGGTCTGGGGAGGCCTCATTTGGAGGTATCATTCTAAGTTCTTGAGAAAGCTCTTGTCCTAACATTGCTTCTTCCATTTGGCAGGTCACCATGGAAGCTTCTGCATGCTGTGCATCATGCAGAACCACATTGTCCAGGCCTTCGCCAACAGTGGCAACGCCATCAAGCCCGTCTCCTTCATCCGTGATCTGAAAAGTAAGGGTGGACCCATGGTGAAATGCCTGCAAAACACTAGCTCTGGTCGGCACTGTGAGCCGCTGGACGGCCGAGAAAGTCACGCATGGGGTCTTAGGAATCCTTGCATGCTAAAGATACTGCATTTAGCAGTGAGGACCAAAGGGTGGGCTTTGAGAGGGGCTGGGTCAGGTGGGTGGAGAAGTCCTCCTGTTGAGGATGGGTCTAGTATTGGCAGGCGAGCAGGGGAGGGGTGCAGGTGGGGACATGCCAAGTCTTTCTGGGCGTCAGAGGAGCGCATGCTGTGGGAATCAGATTTCCCATTCACTTGGCAGGAAAGACGGACCCACAGTGGCAGTTTGAACCTGTGTAGGTTGTGGCACTGAAGCAGGGTTTGGATTCATTCGTGTTCTGGGCTGCCTTGGGAAGCTGGTTTATTGGCGGCTCTTACATCTGAGTGGCGTCTGCTTCCTGCTAAGGAGTAGGGTTTAAGCCCTCAGTCTCACTAAGGAAAGAGCTGCACATTTCCCCTGAGGCGCCTGGTGATTGGCAGTGGGGCTGGCAGCTCTTCCTACCCATTGTCTTCTCATTCAGAGATCGCCCGGCACTTCCGCTTCGGGAACCAAGAGGATGCGCATGAGTTTCTCCGCTACACCATCGACGCCATGCAGAAGGCCTGCTTGAACGGCTGTGCCAAGTAGGTCCTCCACTCCCACTTCTCCTGGGGGTGCCGCTCCGTGGCACTGCCTGGGGAGGGAGCAGCCCTCCACCTCCCGACCTTCCTCTGTGGACGGCAGAGTTCATGTGGGACACCGGACTTCCAGATCCCAAGCAGGGGGCTGCCAGGGCGAGACTGTCACCCCAGCACCCCTGCCCCTGACAGTGGCAGGATCGGGTGGCAGGGCGAGGCCATAGCAGTGCCGTCCTGGAGCTCAGGGGAGGGGAAGTGCTTTCTCAGGTCTCCTGGAGGAAGTTCTGGTCTTTCTAAAGTCACTTTGTTTCTTGGATGCAGACAGTGGCAGTTCATGGGTGAAGATGGAAGGGGGTGGGGCTCTGGTGTTCAGTGTTTGACACTGTGTTCGCTGCATCTTCACCTTTGTAGCAAGTGACTGCTTCCTCTTATGTGTCCTGAGGGTTCTGGTCACCATCTGGAAATGCTTTTTTTTGGGGGGGGTTACTAAGGATTGAACCCAGGGGTGCTTAACCACTGAGCCACACCCCTGGCCCTTGAGATGGGGTCTCACTGAGTGCCTCGCTAAGTTGCTGAAGCTGGCTTTGAACTTACAATTTAGCCTGCCTCGGTCTCCTAAGCCCCTGAGATTACAGGCATGCACCACCGCGACTGGTTGGAGGTGCTTTTGTGTGCTCCCTGAGTTCACTGGTCCTGAGACCAGGCTCCAAAGAGAACTGAATATTCTGAAAATACTTACCTAAACAATGTAGGAAACATCTAGACTGTTCTTTAGAAGGGTTAGTTGAGTTGTAGCAGTGGTTAAAATGGGGAAACCACTGGTTTCAGTGGATGAGAGTCTTATTTATAAATAGTAATCTTTTGTGAGATTCTTGTATTCTGGTTCACTATCTGAGGGTTTGCTCATGGGCTCTTCCCTCCCTGCTGGAGGGACTTGAGCCCTTCCCTCCACACAGATAGGGTCTACTCCTTTCATGGAATCTAATTCAAGCACTAGTTATTTGCTTAATACCTTTGAGTGCCAAACTAGTAGCAGGTGCTGGGAATTTAGAAGTTACAAATGAGATCCTGAGTCTGAGGAGCTCCCAGTGTGGTTGGAAGACAAGTCAGTCAGCCAGCATTTACATCACCCTGTGGGAAATGTGGTCTCCAGGAGACTGGACCACACCTTATGATGGGGAGCCACCCTGCCACCTCCTCTGGAGAAGTGACCCTAGAACTCATTTGGCTGAAGTCGAGAGGTGTGTGACTGGGCCTGGGTGAGAGCCTGTAGAGCAGGTGAAAGGGCTGTGGGGTCTGGAGTAGTGGCCGGCACAGAGTAGTCACTTGGCAAGCGCAAGACAGGAGCTGATGCTGGGCCCAGGCCTGACCACTCAGCCAGGGTCTGCGTATGGGAGAGGCTGGGGGGTGTGGGCTGGGGGAAGGGGTAGTTTGGGTTCATGTGGCCAGGAGAGAGTCCAGGTATGTGGTTTGGCCAGCACTGGACGAAGGGAGGCAGATCAGGTGCCAGGTGGGATGTGGTGCTCACTTCCACTGGTCTAGAGAGAGGTAGGGAGAGAAAGCCCAGTGTTCTGTTTAACTTGCAGGTGGAAGGCCCTTTTGGGTTTGGTGGCATGGATGATTTGGGTGTGACTTGCACTGTGGTCAGAACGTATTCATGGGATGCCTCGGAACTTCCTGACGCCTTCCCCATGACTGTCCAGCATAGAGCCATCCACAAGTTTGCATGTGCTCTGAGGTTGTGTCCTTGCTGGTTTTTGGTTAAAACATACCTTCTTTTTTTTTTTTTCTGTTTTTTTTAAAAAATATCTTTTTTTTTTTTTTTAAAGAGAGAGTGAGAGAGGAGAGAGAGAGAGAGAATTTTTAATATTTACTTTTTAGTTCTCGGCAGACACAACATCTTTGTTGGTATATGATGCTGAGGATCGAACCCAGGCCGCACACATACCAGGCGAGCGCGCCACCGCTTGAGCCACATCCCCAGCCCCAACATACCTTCTTTTGATGAATCGTGGTGCTAGTAGATAGTAGCAGTTGACTTTACATATTCTAACTTTCTAACAATGCAAAAATCTGGTCCCTCAAATATTTTGGAGCTCCCAGAGTCTGGGAAGCATTAGGTCAGTGAAGGCCTGGCATGGAACTCATGCTCTGTAGGAGTTGGCAAAGCTGCAGCAAAAACTGTGCAGACACAGTGTGAAGGGAGCCCTGGAGGCAGCACCCTCTGCACCTGGCTCAGGGTGAGATGCCCATGAGCAGTCTGGAGGGAGCCAGGGGCCTAGAAGGGGGCACTAGTCAGGGGAGCAGGTACCCCAGTCTTCTATAGAAGGTTCCAAAGCTGTGGGATTGGTGCTGCAGAGCTCTTTGGTAGTGGAGGAGGATAGTTTCATAGCCAGATGCAGAGGGTGGGCGAGGAGCCAAGAGCAGAGATCCAACGTGGGGTGCTGTGCATAGTCTTGCCTTTGCTGGCAGGAGTGGGTGTTCAGTGCCCAGGCTCTGCTGAGGAAGCAGTGCTAGGGGATTAGAATGCAGGATGGCCTGTCTCTGCTGTCCTCAGCTAAGAAGGGTATGGAAGGACTTTGCTCCTGCCCATTCCATCGCTCCACTGCCCAGGGGAGGGTGTGGGAGGCTTGGGCTCCAGACCCACCCCATGTTTGGATCCTCCTTATCTTATTGAGACTGAAAAGAAGAGGCGAGATGGTGAGGATGCAGGGCATTTCTGAGCTTGTGGTTTCCTGAGGAGCAGGCAGCAGGGTTGCCTACTGATTCAGGGAGCTCTGTGGGAAGCCTGGGCACTGCTGGGAGCTCAGGCACAGATTAGGGCATTGACTGGGGAGAGCCTCTTGGGTCCCGTGGGGCTGAGTGTGAGTACAGCTCTGTGTGTCATGAAGCGCTCAAGGGCATGTGGCCTCCTTTGCAGATTGGATCGTCAGACACAGGCTACTACCCTGGTGCATCAGATATTTGGAGGGTACCTCAGGTCACGAGGTAAGTGGGGATGTTTCTCCACCCAGCCTGATGCCTTATTGGGTTGGAGCGTGACTCAGGAACCTTGAGCCTCCAGGCATGCAGTCACGGGGCTCTGAAGCCCTGGTCACCTGCTAGGTCCACTGCTCACTTCTAAGCGAAAAAGTTTGGAGCACGCACACAGAGTGCTGGTGCTATTTTAGGTCCTCGGCTTGAGCTGTTGTCCTCCTCCTGAGAGGGCTCACCAGGCTGGCCTGTCGGCGTCAGGGCAGGCCCACAGGAGTGGGGCTGGCGTTGCAGCGCCGCTGGTGAGAGGGAGCTCTCACAACTCTGACTCTCAAGGGACTGGCATGGCGATCCTCTTCGAAAAAGCCAGTGGAGAGTTAGTTGTAGCCCTTAGCCTCCTCCTGGGTGTTGGAGCCTGGGTCCCCACGTGGGCTACCCACCGCTTCCTCGTTCTGTTGCAGTGAAGTGTGCCGTGTGCAAGAGCGTCTCGGACACCTATGACCCCTACTTGGACATCGCGCTGGAGATCCGGGTACGGGGGGCTCTGTGCTCACGTGTGCATCAGGAGAGGGAGCGCAGTGCGGGGCAGGCGCCAGAGCAGACGAGTGAGAGAGCAAGGAAAGAACCCTGGTTGCCGCGGGTGCAGCGCATCTGCATGTCTGTCCATTTTCTCCTGTGTGTGTTCTTTTCATTTGAAAAAAAAAAAAGTGGTGAACTGAGCCTTGGGTGCCCAGCAGCAGCGTGCCAGCGTAGTCAGCCCACACGACCTGCAGACTTCAGGGCATGCCTGGGGCCCTTCAGTTTGCTGGGCTTGCAATTGCGAGGCCTTGGGCTCTCCCTTCACTGCAGTTGTCTGAACCGATCCCGCTGCAGTCTGGTTGAAAGGGACTGATTCACGTGGCACGTCTGACGTAGATGTCACTGTCACCACCAGAGAAAGGGCACAGCCTGGCTCTCTGCTCCTTTGTGGTGGACTTTCCCATCTCAGGAGTGCGCAGTTAGTGCATCAGTTCTATGCAAAATTAAGTTTTGTGATTTGCTGCCTCAGCCTTTTCTGGAAGACACCAAATCCAGCATTTCTTGAGTCAGCCTTTTTCCTGCTGTTGATTCGAGTCCCTGTTTTCCTCCTCCTCAGCAAGCTGCAAATATTGTGCGTGCTCTGGAACTTTTTGTGAAGCCAGATGTCCTGAGTGGAGACAATGCCTATATGTGTGCTAAGTAAGTTTCCCTCTGCCCCTGGAAAAGCCTGGCTGTCCAGAAGGTGTAGACAAGTGCTGACCCGGCACATGTTGTCCTCTCGTAGAGTGACCCCTGCTTGTGTTTCTCAAGTAGCCTGCTGTCTCATGAACAATTTTGCGGTAACACAAACAAAGGCATGGCCCTGGTTCTAGAGTGGCTTGTGCCCTGTATCTGCACATGTACTGATTTGTGAAGTAGGGACCGCTGTTATCCCCACTGCCCAGGATGGGCAAACTGAGGCACAGGGAAGGGAAGGGACTGGCTCGAGGCCTCACTGATAGTGTGTGGCCGAGAACCACCTGCTAGCCTTAGAAGAGGCATGCTCCACACATAGGGCTCCGCCTGGTCTTCTGGTGTTGTACAGTCTTGTTGGGTACATGTCTTTATGTGTAGGTTATTTTAGAGCTGTGATTGCTAAAGAATATTTCCTTAATTCTGCTTTTCAAATTTTTTGTTCTATGCACAGTTTATTCCTCTCCAGCTCTGCTGCCCTTGGCTTTGGGAGCTGGTGACCTGTGTCCATTTCCTCTCCTTCTTTTACCTGTCTTCTGGCTTTGCTTGCAGTGATTTCCTGCTTGCCTATTTTCTTTTGGCCACATTTGCTTTACTTTGTTCTTCCCTGTGTTGCGCCAAAGTTGTTCTTTCTTGTGCATCTGTTTGGCCTCCTGGTTGGTAAGGGATCTTTGCTTTGGCATCTCATCTTTCCTCCAGCCTTGGCTGCCCTGCAGTAGCTTTCCTTTACCTAGGGCAAGTTGGTTTTGGTGTTTGGAGTGTAGAAGGCATAAATCCCACTTAAGAAGACTCCCTTACAGTCCGTCGTTCTTGTATTCACATAGTGCAAACAAGGTGTTCTTCAGAGTGTGAACTGACACCTTTTCACTCACCATCTCCATAGATGCAAGAAGAAGGTCCCCGCCAGCAAGCGCTTCACCATCCACAGGACTTCCAACGTGCTCACCCTTTCCCTCAAGCGCTTTGCCAACTCCAGTGGGGGGAAGATCACCAAGGTGCGTGCTCACTGCACTCCATTCTGCAGCTGGGCTGCTCTTTACCCCAGGGCCCGGGGACCTGTGTTTCATCAAAACCTGAGGTCACTGTCGCACGCAGCCCAGGTCAAGAGCTGCCATCTTACCAACCCCTCCCCATAGCTGCTGCTTGTCCTCAGGTGCTGTCAGTGGGGAAGGTCAGGCTTCCTGAAGAGCAAGTCTGGTGAACACAGGACTGTGGCTGTGGTCTGCCGTGTTCTGTCTCATGTCTAAAACAGGCGTGGTTGCATGCTGTGGCTTTTTGTGACATGTGGAGCAAAGACCTACTTTTTGCACAATGGCATTTACTGAAAGATGTCTATGTTCTTAGCTAGAGCCTGGCTCTGTGGTTTGGGGCAAGGCATTTGTCTTTGGAAAGATAATTTTTTAAAACATTTTTTCTAGAGTTCTCAAGTTGCTTGTAAAGCTCATCTAATTTAAAATATGTAAATATTCTTGGGGGAGATTTTTTTTTAAATGTTGGCATAAGTGTTGTTCTGACCCAATCTATTAGAACCATAACTTACCAGAGCAAGTGGCTGAATCCATTCAGCATCTTTGTTTTTGAAGACCTAGATCCCAGTACGTGCTCCTATTCTTCCCTCGGCCATGCTCCTGTAGAGGAGAGGGGAAGGGAACCAGTTACTCTTCTCATTTTATAGGTGGGGGCCAGGTAGTGTGAGAGCTAGCTTAGATGTGTGACAAAGAGAACAATTGTAATTCATTAAACGGCACAATCAGATCATTTCCCCTAGGTGAGTTGCACCTGGCTCACACCTTGGCTGCTTGACCTGTGTCACTGATCATTGACCAGTATGTGTGTGGGGTGGGGCCCTGGTTTGTTAAAGACAGCCAAGGTTGCATTTCACGTGGTTGTGCATAGAAAGGCAAATTGATTCAGGGATAAAGATGATCTACTTCTTCCTTGAATTTTCAAACAGGATGTAGGCTATCCGGAATTCCTCAACATCCGCCCATATATGTCCCAGAGTAACGGCGATCCTGTCATGTATGGACTCTACGCCGTCTTGGTCCACTCAGGTTACAGCTGCCATGCCGGGCACTACTACTGCTACGTGAAGGTGGGTGCTACTGCACTCTGCCCAGGTTCCCTGGTTGCTGGGCTGGCGCTGCCTTCTGGGGGCCATCTGGCCTTGCTGTGTCAGTCACACTTAGCCTCTGCACATTTATTCTGGAAAGTGGTGATGTTTTACAGTTTTGTTCAGGTCCTTGTGGCCTCTGTGCGAGGAATGGAAAGATGTTTTTAAAAATGGTTCCAGCCAGGCACGTGGCACACACCTGTAATCCCAGCAGCTTGGAAGGCGGGAGCATCACAAGTTCAAGGCAGCCTCAACAACTTAGCAAGACCCTATCTCAAAATTAAAAATAAATAAATAAAAAGGGCTGGGGATATGGCTCGTGGTTAAGTGCCCCTGTGTTCAATCCCTGGTACCAAAAATAAAAAAGAAACCAAAACAGTTCCAATAGAAGCTGTAGTGTTCTGGGGCCAGTGGGACATCCTGGTGCTAGAGAGCTGGCTGCCTTGTCTCCTTAGACCTGGAGAAGTTTAGGGAGATGCTGTGGTGCTTAGATCTGCCAAGTCCCCTTTAGGAGGGACATTAGGAAGTAATTGGAACTCAGCACAATTTGGGGTCCCATTTGGAGGGTACAGACATTACATTGTGTGTGTGTCTGTGTGTGTGTGTGTGTGTGTGTGGTGTTGAGAATCGAACCTGGGGCCTCACGTGTGCCAGGCAGGTCTGAGCCATGTCCCCCAGCCTCCAAGTGGTACACATGTATTGAGGAATGGTTACTGGTTAGTCAGCAGCAGGGTACCCATAAGATGCCTCATGTTGTTTTGTTGGAGTGATTGTTTTGTTTCTTACAACCCCGTGCTGCACAGGCGAGCAATGGACAGTGGTACCAGATGAACGACTCCTTGGTCCATTCCAGCAACGTCAAGGTGGTTCTCAACCAGCAGGCCTACCTGCTCTTCTACCTGCGGTGAGGAGCCCTATTCTCCCCACTTTTCCTGTGTGGAAGAAATTGGGGATTGAGTGTAGGAGGGAACTTGGTTGGACAGATACTGTCCCTGAGTCAGGTGCCATGCTTCTGGTCCCCTAGGAGGGACCTCAGTGAGTAGGAGGGAACTTGGTTGGACAGATACTGTCCCTGAGTCAGGTGCCATGCTTCTGGACCCCTAGGAGGGACCTCAGTGAGCTCCTCTGGTTGTGGAGGAAAGCCAGACCTGGGGAGGCAGGACGGGATTCTTTCTGCCTTCTGTTGATGCTGCCTTGAAGCTCCCTGGACAGTTATCTATTGTCTTGTGACGACGCCCCAAATGATTTGTTGCCCTGTGGCAGCTGGGCAGCGCACCTTCCTGTGAGGACGCAATCCTGTGGGCGTGGAAGGCCACTGGTGGTGGGTCCTGTTCCTGGCCTGCTCCCTGACCTAGAGATTGAAGGGTGTGGTGACTGAGGTGTTTTTGCTGCTCTGTCCACCCTGCTGAGGTTTGGATGCACATATGAGGGGTCTTTTGCCTTATGGTGCTTGAGCCTCTAATTTGGAAGACTTTTGCCCAGACTTGGCCCTGGCCCTCCCACATAGCCGCATCTGAGGCTCTGTCTGGCCTCTTGTTGGTTAAGGGCAGAGTGAGTTCAAGAGACCTGTTAGGTTCCCTCGGGGGGTTGGGGGATTGATTGATTGATTGATTGATTGACTTTACCTTTGCTCACCCTTCCTGAAAAAGAAACATGACCTCAACTTCAAGTTACCCCAATTCTCCCTTGCTATCCATTTTGTAGTAACTTTGGACTTCAGTACAAGTTTCTTGTTTCCTTCTGCAGAATTCCATGCTCTAAGAAAAGTCCCGAGAGCCCCATCTCTAAGGCAGGCTCTACCCTTCCCAGCCGCCCAAGTGTGGTTCTAGATCATACCAAGAAGAACATGGGCAACGGCGTAGCTACCTCCCCATCAATGGCAAAGGTACTGAGATGATGGGGTGGGTTGGGAGCAGTGGTGCACTCCTGCAATCCCAGTGGCTAGGGAGGTGGAGGCAGGAGGATCTAAGTTCAAAGCCAGCCTCAGCAACTTAGTGAGGCCCTATCTCAGAAAGGGCTCAGGATGGGGCTGAGGTTGTGGCTCAGTGGTAGAGAGCTCACTGAACGCGGGTGAGGTTCTGGGTTCGATTCTCAGCACCACATAAAAATAAATAAATAAAAATAAAGGCTTTGTGTTCACCTGCAACTAAAAAAATGTTTTTTTTTTAAAAAAAAGGAGTGGCTGAGGATGTAGACAAGTGGTTAAGTGCTTCTAAGTTCAATCCTTGGAACAACAACAAAAAAAGATGATGGGGTGATGGGCGGCTCTTGGAGCTCCTGTCTCATGCATCACAGATGTCCAGACTTCTCATGGGGGAAGCTTAGCTGAGTGGAGGAGTTCAGGTAGTGGTTTTGTATCTGTCAGCTTTGTTTTCTCAACCGGCCATCAGCTGACGGACGTTGAGAGGCTGAGCCAGCAGCTCTTCTCTGATGCCCAGGGGCATCAGTCCTGCTCTCTGGGCCTGCTATTGTCCAGACATGCTCACTGATCGCCCAAGCTGAAGTCCAGCACTGAGTGCACAGTGTGTGCCAGGCGACTGTCCTGATTCTGATAACCATCCTGGGGCTCCTTCACCAGCAGCTGGACACGTGGAGGGTGAAAGGACGTTGTGTCTGCAGTTTGCCCAGGTGGTTTAGCAATAGGGAAGCACTTTGGTCTGCACAGCCTAAGGAAAGTACAGTGAAGCCCTGTGGCAAGATGCTGGCCATCGGGGAGTCCCTGGAAGCCATCTTTGTGGGTACTTGAAGTTTTCTGTTGAAGCAGTTGAGAACTCAGTTTTCTTGGCAAGGTGATTAGCCGTTTCCGTTTAGAGTCAATGGCTCTGGCTACTGTCACCAAGTGACTTCTTCCTTCTGGCCAGAGCTAAGCCCACACCAGGCAGGCAGCAGTGATTTTCCAGCCTGCGGTGGGGTAGTTACATGTGGACAGCTGTCTTTCCCTCCGCATCCAAGAAAAGAGAAGTGGAAATGAGGCTCATTGGAATTGATGTAGGAATTGAAGTTCATGATCTAACTGCAGAATCGGCAACAGCTCTCAGGGTCAGGAGGGCCACAGGCGGAGGAGTTGTACCTGAGGGTGGCTACAGGTACCCGGGATCCTGTGCGGGCACATCTGCAAAGCTGTTGCACTTAACCATTAGTGTTTTCATTACACGGAGTTTTCCACATATGCTGCAGTTGCTTGCATAAATGTTGTTTTGCTTTAAATAGGATTGTGCGAGTTCTAGTATTCTAGAACATTTCAATAGCAGTGCAATAGAAAGACTTATTCCTGTTAGAAAACAGCAAAGCATAGACTATTATAAAATATGGGCAGCTGGGCATGGTAGCCCATGCCTGTAATTCCAGGTACTTGGGAGGCTGAGGCAGGAGGATTGTAAGCTCAAGGCCAGCCTTGGCAACTTAACAAGATCCTGTATCAAAAAATACAAGGGTAACAAGGGCTGGGGAGTACCCCTGGGTTCAATCCCCAGCACTAAAAACACAAAAAATAAAACCTAGGCCAAAAATCTCAAAAGAAAATATAAGTGCATTCTAATTAAACCTCTAGAAAAAGGAAGACATTCTAAGCTTAAAATCGAGAGAGAATTTAGAAAAAGTATAAATTGGCTGAACTAAAACTGAATGCATAAAATCTTTTTTGTTAAATTTTTTTTAATTGTTGATGGTCGTTTATTTAGTTTATTATATTGGTGCTGAGAATCCAAACCCAGTGCCTCATGTATGCTAGGCAAGGGCTCTACCCCTGAGCTATGTGTGACCCCAGCCCAATACATAAAATCTTAAAAATAAACAAAGAAACTAAAACATTATAGAACAAGGAGCTGGGGGCACAGTCAGCCGTAGTGCGTGCTACGCATATGTTGTAATGATCTGGGTTCGATTCCCAACACAAAATTTTTCTTTTCAATGGATACAATGAAAAATTAACATTTTTTTTAAGTTGATGGACCTTTATTCATTTATTTATATGTGGTGCTAAGAATTGAACCCAGTGCCTCACACATGCCAGGTAAGCACTCTACCACTGAGCTACAACCCCAGCCCCAGAAGGTTAACATTTATAACATAAAAGCTCCTTCAGATGGTGGCACCTCCCTGCAGTGCACCTGCCGTGGGTACGAGGGTAAAGTGGTGCAAGCCCACAGCAGTGCAGAGTGGAGAGGGGCCTTCTGGAGCTTTGGGGTCAAGCAGGGAAGGGTCCAGATGAAGCATTAAACACAGAGTTAAGAGTATTTTCATCTACTTGCAGTGAATGTAGGAAGGACTCATCTACTAGTGTGCTGTCCCCACAGCAGGAGACAGCACAGGCTGTACGCTGACCACACCAGCAGCCATCACTGAGCAGAACCTGGGGAGAGGCTTCAGGTGTGGCCTTGTGACAAAGGGGGACACACCTGTGCACCAGACCACTCAGAAGTAGCTGTTAGTGTTGGCTCTTTGGGACCTTTTTTCTTTGTACTTTTTCTCACTTGGTGACAACATTCTGCTTTGCTGTGAAGATGGTCATGAATACTAAAACCGGTCAGGACAGTAGCACTTTACCACTCACCCGTTCCAGCCTTTGCCTCGTGCCTGCTGCTGACTGCTGCTCTGTCCTCAAGGCGGGGCCTGGCCAGCGCCCGCAGAGGCCCTGACTGCTCTCCCCTTGCTCTCCCTCAGCGACCAGACCCTGTGCTGGTGAGGAAGCTGCAGGTCCCCGAGGAGATCGGCGTGCCTGTTTCCAGGAACGGCTCTGTGCCGGCCCTGAAGTCACAGAATGGATGTGTTCCTGCAAAGCTGCCCTTGGGGTCACCTTCCCCCAGACTCTCCCAAACACCCCCCCACACCCCCACCCTTCTAGAGGAGCCTGGGAAGAAGGTGAAGAAGCCAACTCCCCCACAGCACTTCTCCCCGTCCCTGCGAACTCCTCAGGGCTCCCCTGGTACCAGCGAATCTGGGAGCCATCGGCAGGGCTCCTGGGCCAGCCGAGACACTGTCCCCTCTACCTCACCGAAGCTCCTGGCCAGCGCCACTGCAAATGGGCATGGGCTGAAGGAGGAGGACGGGAGCACGGACCTTGAGAAGGGGGCTTCTAGCAGCTCTAGCCCGGAGCACTCTGCCAGCAGTGAGCCCGCCAAGGCTCCACAGGACCGCGGGGGCACGGCCGTCCGCATCTGTGCTTCTCAGGAAACAGACTGTCCCTCCGGTCCCTCCAGAGCACCACCAAGTGAAGCCGATCCTGCAGTGGTGAAGCTGAAGTCCCCTGCCCTGGGCAGCGCCACCACTGAGCCTGCGAACCTCATGTCTCCACCGCCAGCCAAGAGGCTGGCCCTGTCTGCCAGGAAGGTGGGCACAGGGGTCTCAGGCCAGCTGGCCATAGCGGGGCAGTGGGAGATGTTGAAGGCAGTGGCATTCCTCATTCCAGAGGTACCAAGTGCCTTTTGGGCGTCCCTGGTGATTTGCAGGTTGCAGAAGGGCCGTCTGGGGGCCGGGGGGTTGAGGGAGTCCATCATTCAGTCCTCCTGGGGCTGGGCTCAGGGTGGGTCTCCATCGCAGCTGCAGGTGGAGTAGCTCAAATGGGCCCCAGGGCGAGAGCCAGGCTCACCCGGCCATGTGTGGTGGCAGGGGCACTGGGGCAGCATGGGCCTGGGGGCCTTGTGCAGGTGGGGCGGGGTGCCTCTGGGGCTGGGGCGCGACACAGTCGTGCTGAGGTTTTGTTAAAGTTCCTTCCTTCTTCCTTTTTGTTTCTAACCAACAACACTCTTCTGGTTCTTCTCCTACCATCCCTCCTCTCCCTTCCCCTGTTTTCTCTTCCTGCCCCCTTATCCTTTCTGGGCCCTGTTTTTCTGTTTTTGTTTCTTGTTTTTTTTTTTTTGTTTGTTTGTTTGTTGTTTTGTTTTGTTTTCCCTCTTCACTCATGGAAACCTTTTTTAGACCACCAAGTTTTTATTTATGTCAATAACTGCAGGCCAGCACCCTGCGGAGGGCGACCGGCAATGACCTCCATTCACCTCCCCCCTCACCATTCTCCGACCTCACCTCCCCCATGGAAGCTGCTCACCCCGTCGTTGCCTCCACCTGGGCTGTCAGTAGAACCAGGTGAGCTGGGGCGGGGGCCCCAATCCAGGCATTTGTCGGGTTCCATTGGTTCTCTCCTATGGTGAGGGTCCAGGATGGGGTCCCCTCCTGCTGCTCCCTTTCCATTCGGCAGCAGACCCTGCTTGGTCGATGGCAGAGGGTCTCTGTGTCCTGGCTTGCTGTTTTTGTCACAGTCTTTGTCTGTCTGCCCCGTGTGTGGTGCTGGGTGTGCCGAGGGCTTCCGTGTCCTGAAGCCCCTGGCCAGCCCCAGGTCAGAGCTTCAATGGGAAGAGAAAGGCTGTGAGTGAACTCAGAGGCCTGGAGGCCTTCAGGGCCATCCGTTTTGCCAGCCAGGGTCGCATCTTGTTTTCCCAGCAGTGTGCCCTGCCTCCTCAACCCTCAGAGGGTCCCCCGGGGCTCCTGGCCATTGGCTGGGTGTGGCTTCTGGAGTAGGGAGGCTTGATTCTGCCTTGGGGCTTTTCAGACCTTCTGTGGATAGGCTTCCCAGTCCTCCCGCCCCTCCCAGTGGGCTGCCCTGACAGGAGCTCGCCCAGGGCAGAGCAGTGTCTCCCCGACAGTGGAGGCTGATGGGGACCGGAACCCCTGGGCAGCCGGGAAGGCGTGAGAGAGGGCACGGGTGAGGGACATGGCCTCTTGGACTCTCCCTTCGTGACTCCACCTACCTTACCCTGGAGGCAGCCTGGGACCGTCCCCACTCGGGTGTGCACCCCTGACCCTAGCCTGGTAGTTTTGCACTTGGTAGTCTACAAGTATCCAGACATCTGTTGGGTATTTTCTCTTGGTTTCTTTGTCACATAACCTTTATGAAAACACTTCAGGGGAGCCGGGAATGGTGGTGCACGCCTGTAATCCCTGCTGCTTGAGAGGATGCCGAGTTCAAAGCCAGCCTCAGCAAACGTGAGGCGCTAAGCAACTCAGTGAGAGCCTGTCTCTAAATAAAATACAAAATAGGGCTGGGATGGGGCTCAGTGGTGGAGTGCCCCTGAGTTCAATCCCTGATTACTCACTCCACCTCACCAAAAAAACCACTCCAGAGAACACCTGGGGTGGCCCAGCCTTGGGGTCCAGGTGTATACTGCTATGGTGCTGTGGTCTGCCCTGGTTGAGGTGACAGTGACAATGACGATAGTCCTACTGAGTGCAGTCACCCTTTGAGGTTGGCAGCCTTGCTGCTCTGGCCAGATGAGCACTGTGGGTCTGGAGCCCCTTGCACACCTCGCAGGACAGCTCAGCTTTACAAGTCGTGGTCCTGAGTTACTGCCCAGAGTCAGGAAAATAACTGCGGGGTGCAGCCCGCGCCTGCCCTCCCGAGAAGGCTGCTGTCCTCAGGGTCTGCCTTGCTCTGGGGCTGAGACGTGCCTACAGATGGGACTCTCCTGAACTGTTGCTCAGCAAGTTGGAATCAGAGAGCAGAAACAATAGAGTTAAAAAACAAAACAAAACTGTGACCTCTTACTCTCAAGGAAGTATGACGTACAGTTCTCATTAACTCTGATCTAAAGAGATTCTGGATTCTATCGTCAGCCTGTCTTCACATTCGTGTGATTCATGTGTGTCTGAGAATTACAGGAAAGGACTGTTTTGGAAAAGGGGATGAAGGTGGGCAGGAGGAAGAGCTCTGCGTGGGTTTTTCAGAATGACCTTCTTTATCATCCTCTGTCCCCACAGGGCTGTGTCACCTATCCCTCGATCATCCAGCCATCCAAAGCCGCCTGTTAGCCCTCCCTCTACATCACTGACCAGTAGTAGCCCCCAGTCCCCAGGGACTTCAGAGCCACAGAGCCGTTCCTCTTCCTGGACTGCCCTGCCTCAGGTCAATGGGGACTTCACGTCCCTTTCACACCAGCCGTCACTGGAGGCCAGCAAGGCCCCTCAGAGCCCCTCTAGGAAGAAGAAGAAGCTGCTCACAGGAGAGCCCCAGAAACTAGGCTCAGTGGCACGTCAGCCCCAGTGCCTCAGGGGAGAAGCTGTGGCGCCCCGCAGGAAGAGGAAAAGGAAGAAGAGGAAGTGTCCAGAGGACCCAGGCACCATAGCCCCTCAGGAGGGTCAGACTCGGGGGCAGCCCTGGAGCCCCAAGAGCAGGAAGAAGCACCAGGCAGAGCTTGCAGCTGATCCACAGGAGGAAGAGGGCACACGGCCACAGGCAAACGTCCTAGAAGCCCACCACCCGAGTAGCAGGAAGCGGAGGAGGAGAGGAGTGGAGGGATTCGGGAGAGTGGAGCTACCCCAGGACCCACCTTGGCCCAGGTGAGCACAGGTCAGAGACACGCCCCGGTCTCTCCATCAAGAAATCAGAAGCACGCTGGGTGTTGTGGCACATGCTATTATCCAGCAACTCAGAAGGCTGAGGCGGGAGGATCCTAAGTTCAAGGACAACCTGGGCAACTTAGCAAGGCCCTGTCTCAAAAAGTAAAAAGGGCTGGGATGTGGCTTAGTGGTTAAGCACCCTGGGTTCAATCCCTACTGCCAAAAAAGGGAAAAAGAAAATCAGGCCTGGGGCTAGGCAGAGTGCTTACTTAGCATGTGTAAGGCACTGGGCTTGATCCTCAGCACCACATAAAAATAAAATAAAGGCATTCTCTCCGCATACAGCTCCAAAAAATTTTTCAGAAAAAAAAATCAGAAGTGAAATAATCCATCCCCAGGTGGGTGCAGTCTACAAAGATATGCTATTCTGGAATCCTAAAAATGTAGTCTCTGAGGCTGTTGGTGGACCTCAGTCCCTTGAGTGACTGACAACAGAGAGGACAGGTGCTTCTAAGCCATGGCCATCACTGCATGAGCAGGATGTCCAAAGATGCAGGGTGGTTGTGTGTTCTGGGGCCACAGCAGCCTGCATGTGTAGTTAGTAGGGCTTGTCCCAGCTGCACTAGCGTCACGCTGGTGTGGCTGTGGGCGCCCAGCCCCCATGTACCCAGCCACTTCTCTAAGCCAGTGCAGAGTGAGCGATGTGCCACCCTAGGGGTCCTGTTGTGCTGGGGTTCCCGTCTTTGTGCATTGCTCTCAACTTCTGACTGCTGCCTCCGACTCCTGCAGCTGCTCCTCCCCTGATCCTAGAGAGCCTGCAGCCAGGATGGAGTCTCCAAGGAAAAAGAAGAGGAGGAAAAGAAAGCGGGAGGCGCAGCGGGAGGAAGAAGAGAACAATCATCCGGAGGGCCCCAAGAGGCTGAGGCCTAGTGTCTCTGCAGTCCCCGTGTGGAGTATGAACGGCCAGGTTCCTGGGGACCGTCTGGGTGAGCACTCTGGGCACATTAGTCAGCTTTCTGTCACTGCGACCAAAATGCCTGATGAAGGCTGCTCACAGTTTCAGAGGTCTCCGTCCATGGTGGGCAGCTCCATGTCCTAGGCCTGGGGTGGAAGGTGTGGTTTAGGAAGGCAGCTCAGTTTGTGCAGCCAGAAAGCAGAGAGAGGGGAAGGGGCCAGGGACAGGATAAGTACCAGTGTGTGCCCCCCAGTGACCTACTTCCTGCTGCCACACCCCACCTGCCAGCCCCTTACCCCGTCTTCCAAGGGTCCACTTTGATGTCAATGGATTGATTACTGACGAGGTCAGAGACCCCATGACTTCCCAACAGCCCAAGCCCAGCCTCTGGACGGTGCCATTTTGGGGACTAGGCCTTCAGTGCATGAGCCTCTGGGGGATGCTCCACATCTAGGCACTACACAGGCAGCTTCGAGGAGTCCTGGTGGCAACAGTGATGGGGGTGCTTCCCTGTCCTGTGTGAGGCCTTTGCTGAGCACTGGCCCATGCATTAAGTCTTTAACTAGCACAAATGCCTGAGATAATTAGGAGAAAAGGGTGTGTTTTAGCTCACAGCTCTGGGGGCCCAGCCCCAAGTCTGCAGCATGTAGTGCTAGGAGTATGTGGCGGAGCAGGGCTTTCACCTCGGGACATGGAAAACTAGTGGAAGGAGTTGGGGTCCCACTGTGCCCTGAGAACCTCCCCCTAGCCCTGCTTATTATAGCTTCTATCACCTCCCAGTAGCACCTTCCTGAGGACAAGCCTCCAGACGTGGGCCTCTGGGGAACCCTAAGATCTAAACTGTAGCAGGCTGTTTGTGGCCACAAGGCAGGGTCCACTCATGGTGTGCCCTCCTGCTGGCTGCAGGGCTGTGCTTTTTGGCTTCTCTTATTTTCTGCCCTTGTCATTTTCATGAACTGACGTGGACAGCAGCCTTCTCTGTTGAGTAGAGTACTTACCAGCACTTGGGCACTGCAGTGTGGGTGAGCACTTACCCCTCACGAATTCTGCAGGTGGCTGTCAGTGAGGGGTGTGTGACAGTCCCCTCATCTCCTATCTGTAGGGCCAGGACAGGCTCCTCTTGTACCTTGGAACAGAGAGCGAGAACCCGATGTGGTCCAGGAGTTGCTCAGATACTCCTCTGACAAGGCCTACGGGAGCAAAGGTACGTCCAGACAGGACGTGGTACTGTCCTCTGCAGGTGGGCAAGCATGGGTCCTGTTCCTAGAGGAATCTAGAGCAGCTCCAGGGGTCTGTGGGCATGACGGCCGCACACACAGCTCTAGGTACGGTGGGCAGAGTCAAGGTCCCAGCTGGGGAGGGCAGGGCAGAAAGCTCCTGACCTCGAATGCAGGCTGGGCTCGGAACCTCATTTGTAAGGCAGATTTTGAGAGCAAGCATGAGACATTGTTTCTCAAACATGGGCGTAGATTTACAAAAACAGGTGGGCACAGTGGTGCACACCTGTCATCCCAGCTGCTCACGAGGGGGTAGCAGGAAGACCACAAGGTGGGGCCAGCATGGGCAACTTAGCCAAACCCTGTCTCAAAATGAAAATTTTACGAAGGACTGGGAGTGGAGCTCAGCAGCGAAGTGCCCCTAGGCTCAGTCCCTAAAGAAAAAGGAAAAAAAGCGAGCTCTATGATTGGTGATGCAGAACTCAGGACTCACCGACTCACTGATGCTGTTCCCATGTTGACCGTCCTGGTCACTGTGCCCCTCCTTTTTCCCTCTCATGTCTGTCTCTGCCAAAAGGTGGCACTCACACGTTTTGAACATGTGGGGGTAGACAGGCTTCCCTGGCGCACAGGGTCAGAGTGGCCCACAGGGTCTGGGAGCCCACATGTGCTGATGGCGGGTGTGTTGTGCAGTTCTGAGCTGGAGTGGGGAGCCGTCTGCGATCAGTCAGGATGCCATCGAGGACAGCAGATTGGCCCGCACCCAGACTGTGCTTGACCACTGGGATGAGGAGTTTGATCGAGGGAAGGTAGGACGTGACATGGCTGTGGGCTGACAGTAGGATGGTGTTGCTCACCTTGGGCCAAGGGCAGGGATGTCCTGAACTCTGATAGCAGTTTGAAGCTTCGGAGAAGGTGGCTCGGCCAGCTCCAGGTGGTGTGTCTGGTGCCGTGGGCAGGAGTGGGCCACGCTGCTGGGGTACCTTCTCAGTGCTGGGTGGCAGGCCTCCTGCAGAGGGTGTCACTCACTGTGTGGGGGCACCCCTGTGCCCGGGAGCCCTCGGCGCTCGCGCGTAGGAGACTGGGCTCAGGGCAGCCCTCCTGAGAATTGTAACGCCTGATTCTTGATGTAGGAGAAGAAAATGAAAAGACTCAAGAGAGAGAAGAAGAGAAACTTCAATGCTTTCCAGAAGCTTCAGAGTAGACGGAACTTTTGGTCTGTGACTCATCCAGCCAAGGCCACCAGCCTCAGCCACCGCCGCTGAGCTCAAGCTGTCGAGGTCCGTTGTGGGGGTGGTGTCTGTGATGTGTGTCTGTGTGTGCGTGTTCTGGGCGTGGTGTCTGTGGGTCGGCTGTGGCGTGTATGGTGTGTCTGTGTGTCTGTCTGGTGTGCATGCGCCTGTCCCTTGTAGGAGAGGACCCAGTGACATTTTCCAGCTCCCTCGAGGGCTGTACCCCTGTCCTGCCGGGACTCACTCAAGGTGTTCTGGGAGTGTCAGGTCTCTCTCCTCACCAGGACATGTGCCTGTCCCATACCCTCTAGGGCCGTCACTTCCTGGGAACTCTGTCTGGATCTGAAGAGTGGCCTCCAGCAGACTCCACCTCCCTGTCACCTCTAGGCTGCTGCACTGTGAGCCTGCCACGGCAGGGGACTCCTGTCCCCACCGTCTTAGGGGCTTCTACGGCTCAGAACCTGTGGAGACATTCACGAAAGGCCTCTCACGCGAAGCCCTGGCATGTGGTGTCACGCAGACCGACAGCTCACTATGGGGCCTCCAGAAAGGCCAAGTGACCTTGTGGTCATGGACAGCGGGGTCTGGGTGGGCAGAGCCGTCTGCCCCAGCTCTGGGGCTGTTCCGCAGTTGTCCTCTGCTCAGGGTGGAGGGTGCCTTGGCTCTTCCTGGCGAGCACCCCTTGTTCCCTGCAGGTGGCGCTGCCTCGTGCTGCGCCCTGTGTCTGTATGCCTTACTGTCTGCCTCAGAGAGGAAGGTCCTACACGGACCACATCGCTGCCTTTCGCTTTCCTGCCTGGGGTTGGCCCTTCCGGAGTATCTCCTCCTCACAGGAACTCCAGGCTCTGTGGAGAGCAGAGGCTGGGGTGGGAACCCTTGAAATTAATGCCAACGCATCTGCTTCCAAGGCTGCTGCCTCTCCTGATGGTTTGGCTGTCGCTGCCCTTCAGCTGCAGTGACCGTGGGTCTCTGCAGAAGTGGTGATCTTGGGGATGAGGTCTCCATGAGCTGATTACTTAATATGGAGCATCTATATTCGAGCAGGCCTGTGGCTTCCTGTACCGTGTGTTTCCCTGATAGGCAAACCCTGGCTCCGTGTGCTCAGTCTAGGGAGTGCCGTGGAGTCTGGCTGATTGTGCTGTTCACGCCCCTCCCCTGTGCAAGCCCTGTCTCAGACGTGTGGTTGGACGAGCCTGGGTCTCCTCGCCGAGGTGCTCTCTAGGAGGACGGCACCTTCCAGGCGCTGCTCACAGTGCCGGGCGCTGGCCTCCCCAGGAGGGCCCACCTCTGCCCTTGGCCTGTGCCACCTTTATTTTGCTCTGCTGCCACACTTGGGGCCTCACTTGATCCTGCTGTAGAAAGAAGACTTACTTTTTCTTTATGGGGAGAAGATTGTTTTCTTTTCCTGTTTTCGTATTTCCTTTTAAAAGAAGGTGGCAGGAAGAGTGGCACCAGGGCTGATCGGTTGGCTGCTCCCCATCCCAGCAGGAAGTGGGCCATGGCTTCGTGACCTGTTGTCTGGGGAGGGCAGGGCTTGCTTTTCCTCTTGAGGCGCTGACGTTCTTTCCTGTATGAACTGCGTCCCCAGCTGTGTTTGTTTCGTAATGTTCTGTAGTTAAATTTAGTTGTCTTCTAGCACAGAATTGACCTCCCCTCTCGCTCTCCCCTCTTCCAAGTGGGTCTCTTCCTTCTCCGCTGGATTGCACGCTGCAAACCCTTGTCCTGGAGGGGCTGCCTCCCTCTCCCAGGTGGTGGAGTGCCTGACCTGACTTTTGCGGTGCTCATCGCTGTCCGGCAGAAGCCAGCCCCTCCCTTCCCGGAAAACCATCAGCCAAACAGGGACCAGGAAGAATGAGGCCCAGAAACCGCCACCGCCACCACCACCCCCTGTTCTGGGTGCCCGTGGTGTGTAAGCACATGTTAGTGACCTCAGTTCTTGCCATGGTGGCCTCTCGGCACAGAGCTTGCCTTCGTGCTTGGGAGTGCAGGTGACGGCCCCTGTGCAGTGGGCCCTCACCAGTGTTCCTCACTGCCCCATTCACCTATCTATCGTGAGGAGCTGCTTCCTGCTGTCTCCTGGCTGTGTGGCCACACCCATGTGTGTACAGGCCTCCCTGCCCGCTGTACTTCCTCTCCAGTGGCCTGGGGAGCCCCAGATGTTGCCAAGATCTTGGTGCAATAAATAATGTGCTGTTGTGAGTCCTTTCTGTGTGTCTTTTTTTTTGAAGATGTACACAAGGCCTTTATTTGTTTTATTTCTAGGTGGTGCTGAGGATGGACCCAGTGTCTTGCTCAAGCTGGGCAGTGCTCTGCCGCTGAGCCAGCCCCAGCCTTCTCGGATGTCTTTTTCCTTTGACTTTTACAAAGGCGCGTGTCTGCCACTCCTATTCCCAAGTCAAGGGTGGGGTGCCAGCGTCCCCCACAGCCCCAGGTCCCTGCTAATGGGATGTTGAGGTGGGAGATTGCCTAAGCCTAGGAGTTCCAAGTCAGTCAGTCTGGGGTCCTGTCCAGGACAGAATGACAACAGGAGGGTTTGAGACTGAGTGGTCCACTCAGTTCTGTGGGTGGTTTTTAGTGAGTACTCTACCAAGGATGTTTGAAGCAGTCCGTTAACTGCAGTTTATTCTATTTGTTGCTTTTTTTTTTTTTTTAGTTCTTTATATACTCTAGATATTAGACCTATTTTGGGGGGGTGGGGGGTAAACTGGGGATTGAACTCAGGGGCACTCAACCACTGAGCTACATCCTCAGCCCTATTTTGTATTTTATTTAGAGGCAGGCTCTCACTTAGTTGCTCAGCACTTCGACTTTGAGGCTGGCTTTGAATTTGAGATCCTCCTGCCTCAGCCTCCCGAGCCACTGGGATTATAGGCGTGAGCCACCATGCCCAGCTTTATTGCTTTTTAGGTTTTTCATTGACTAATATTTGGATCTCTAGGGGAAGATGAGAGAAATAATGGATTTCAGTGACCAATGACATTTCTCACTGTTGGCTAAAACGGGGCAGGAAGATCCGGTGGGAATCTTGCCTGCTTTGCATGTGGTAGGATGGCGGGCAGAGTGGCCACAGGGCTGTGCTGGCAGCCCATTCTGACCCAACAGTGTCTGGCCACAGCTTGGAAGGCGTGGTAAGACTTGTGTCCATGTGGACTGGGGTTGTGACCACCTGGGAACTTCATCTAGGTTCTCCTGGACAGCACTGGTCCTGAGCCCTGCTGCCAGCGTGGCAGGTCTGGGAGGAGCAGGCAGGGTCATACAGAGGTGCCCAGTGGCCAGGAGGCTAGAGTGGCAGGAGCAGCCCTGGGGAACCAGGAGAGGAGCTGACCTGCCTGGGCGGAGCCTGTGAGTGCTGCTGAGTGCTGCCTGGCAGCTCCGTCACCAGCCTTCACCTCCCGCACCTCTTCAGGGCCTTTTCCCACGCTCTCCACGAAGATGTCCCTCAAACCCAGTTCTGGACTTGGCCCCAGTCACCTCAAGGTTGGGTCAGACAGCTCAAAGGAGGAGAGCAGAGGACGCCTGGAGGTGAGACTGCCACCTCCAGATGGAGGAAAGGGCACTCTCGGGCCTTGCTGCAGCCCTCTGACCAGCCAGGCAGTGGCCAGTGGCCCCAAACCACTGGGGATACAGTGGCTATGGGGAGGCCACACTGTTGTCACTGTTATCTGAACACTGACCACTCTGGGATGTGTGACGGCCGAGTGAGAGTCTCGCATGGTGCATGGGACCTCGCAGGCGGGGCTGAGGGATCCAGCCTGGGTGAGCACCACTGCGACTCACCGTCACCAGGAGGGTGCCCGGTGCCTCCTGATGAGCCTCAGGCCGGGCAGTGTGTCAAAGCAGGGCGCAGCAGCATGCTCAGGGGGCCACAGCGTGACAGAGAAAGCCTGGTCGTCCTGGTTGGCAAGCTGGGCACCAGGGCCAGGTTAACAGGATCTCATTTGCTTAATGGACTCCTGGGCTGATAGTGTCTGCATCATAGCCCCACGGGGGTGGGGGTGGGGGGTAGAGTGCAGAGGGTGGCAGGTAAGGCTGACGGTCCCGTGAGCAGCCAAGTAGGGTCCCTTGGGCATTCATGAAGTGGAGTCAGGGGCACATACAATGAAGGTCTGGCCGGGCAGTCAGTCGAGGAGGTCAAGGGAGTAGCCGGGGAGTAGCAGGCTGCTTCTGGTTTCAGGAGGCCGTAGGTGGGTGACAGTTTCAGTTTGAGACAATGGCGATATAAATGGGCAGAAGGTGAGCTCTGAGTCTTCCAGTTAAGAACAAGTCCAGCTGTCGGTGCTCCTGGGGGCGAGGTCCTGGACACACTGCAGGGGGTCAGGGTTAGCAGCAGCAAGCATGACCCTTGGGCCAGTGCTGAGCTGTGTGCTGTGATCCCCGGCCCTGGGTCCTGGCAGGTGGACAGTGTGTTCCTGGAGGGTGGTGTCAGTAGAAGCAGGGGTGGCTGTGGAGGAGGGCCAGTGAGCACAGGACAGGGGCTTCGGAGTGCAGTGTCCTCTGCCCATCAGATCCAGGGCCAGCTCCAGCACTGGCCCCTCCTAGAGCCCATACCTGCACCTTTCCATAGCCCCATCCAACTCTCTGCCTCTGGCATGGCCCCATAGGGCTCTGGGGCTGCCCCGCTGCCCATCTTGCTTGGGACTTCTGCAGCTGCCTCCCAATCCCGGGGGTTATTCTGAGGGTTTCCCTTCACCGTGGGCCTGACTCTGGTAGGCGAATGGTTTCTTACTGGCTGCTGAAGCCGTCTGCTCTGTCCTCCCTCTGCCTGGTGGTCCCAGCACCCCAGAGCAGCAGACTCCCCGGGCAGAGCTGCCCACAGAGGCCAGTGGAACTGGACAGAGGTGTCAGGCCCATGTCTCAGACTCCAGCCAGCACCAGTCACCAGGGGTCATTAGGGCACCAGTCAACACAGATGTCCCCATGTTCTGATTGGGCCTTCCTGAGGACGGGTAGTTCTGGTCACTCCCCAGGTGGCTGTGCTGGCAGGATCCGGGCACAGACCTGCTGTCCTCATCCGGTGGCCCTCCAGGGGCTCAGGTGTTGGGATGGGGGTGTGGGGAGGGGTCTGGTGCCCGAGTGAAGAAGCACTGTCGCCCCGACCCCTGTGGGGCCTGTGTGGGCTGCAGCTGTCGGAAGGAGCCCCTGGTGGGGGTCGGGACTCCTGTGCTCCTCCAGGGCTGCGCTCCGCCCTCCCTCCGTCCTACCTGCTCCCTGGTTCATCCCCCTTCTCTTAGGAGCTGGCCCGGGGTGTCCGCCCTGGAAGCCTGGCGCCTGCTGGGTTCCCCAACCACTCATCCCTCCACTAGGCTTCAGCTCGCTCCCTCCTTTCACTCTCCACACCCTGAGCTGGCTTCGGTCCTCGTCACTCCACTCCGTGACCTAATTCCCAAACCCAGTGGGCATTTGTCACTGGCTTCTTCCCAGGATCTCCCAGTTTTCCCCTCCCAGATGGCCTCCTATCCTGCCCACTGAGGGTCAGTCTGGAACAATGGACACTCAGTATGTGGATCTGGCCCAAACTGGCCGGCTCCATTGGTTCACCCCTCCACACGCCTTTCCCTACCTATCCTACTGGCAGACTCGGGGCCCAGGAGAAATCAGACCTGTGTTCCTTCCCCACATGGTGAACCTGCACCCGATCGGAAGCCAGAGCACCTGGGTGCCTCCCCTGCCTCTCCCGCTCACACCCGTCCTGGAGGTTGGCCTTCCCAGCTGCTGCCCTGGAAGCCCCCCCTGCTTCCTGCTCTCACCTGGCGCAGCCTGGGCCTGGCATCTTCCTCTTGGGCTTGAGTGGCCTCCTGCCAGGTTCCTGACCTGCCTTCCTGCTCTCTGTCCCAGGAATGCCTTCCATAGGAGCTCCCCTGCCCCTGGCCCCCACCTCTCAGCTCTGCAGCCCATGGCCTCAGGGTTCTGGGTCCTGCCCTGCTGGCCTGGGAGGCCTGCCCCTGCCGCCAGGTGGATCAGGAGCGTGCTGGCCCTCGGTAGACTCTGACCCGAGGCATTGCTCACGCTCTTTGCTTTCTCCAGAGGAAACTGCAGGTGGAGCCTGCCCATGAGGGTTGAGTGGGGTTCACTCATGGCTTGCTGTAGAAAGCTCAGGGTGTGGGTCCAGACTGGGTTCTGACGGGGCCCCGTAGGAGTCGGCCTCATGAATGGAGTCAGTCGTACCGCCTCTCCGTGCTGTTTTTTGAAATGCCTGGTTGGATTTGTGCCGGGCAACTGTGGCTGTGTCCTTACACTATCTGGACCCTCTCCTGCCTGCTTCAGTGAGGAGGGCAGTGGTTAGGGGGGCTGGCAGGAGGTGGCTACCAGTGCCCTTTCTTGGGCAGGCTCTGGGTGTATAGGTGGCTTTTTTGTTTGTTTGTTTGTTTGGTACAGGGGATTGAACCCAAGGGCACTTAATTCCTGAGCCACATCCCAGCCCTTTTTTAAATTTGTATTTTGAAACAGAGTCTCGTTAAGTTGCTTAGGGCCTTGCTAGATTGCTGAGGCTGGCTTTGAACTTGGAATCATCCTGCCTCAGCCTCCTGAGCCACTGGGATCACTCACGTGCACCACCACACCTGGCTCGGTGCATCTTACCATGGATGGTCCAGGCTTCAGCACACAGAGCCTAAGGACCTGGCAAGTGCCTGCTGTGAGCTGTGTGCAGGGATCAATGTGTTACACACACCAATGACTTTTTCATGGCTGTTTCAAAATGGTGTGAAGCCTCATTACCCCACGCTAAGAACTAGTATTGATACAACGTACCTTCTGTGGGTTTTGCTCCTGTGATGGTAGACGATCCCTTTACAACTCCTCTCCCTTTCCAGGGTTTTCTTCTGCTTTTCTGTCATAGGTGGCCACATTTGGATATTCCACTGCAAGGGACCAAGGCTGTTGTCTAGCCAGGCCCAGGATTAGCCACCCAGGAAATATTTATTGAACAAGGGAACCTGAAAAGGTCGTGGAGGAAGCCTGGCTGTGACAGGCATTTGGATGCTGCTCAGAACACTGCCAGCCCACTGCCCGCCAAAGCCCGAGCTCAGAAATCCCCCTTCGTGGACTCGGCTCTGTGTTGCCCACTCGGAGCTCCACCACCCTTTGTCTTTCTCACACGTGGAAACACTGTGGTGAAGTCGAGTGGGAATTCTATCTGAAACAAATGCCCAGACAGTGGCATGTGGCCAGCTGCCTTCTGGGTGGCATGGGAACAGTTGGTG